ATTCTAATCTGAGAAATTATGGACGCCAGACAAAATATTCCTCTGTACCACATCACACATTCTGATAGGATAGAAATAAGAAATATATACAAAAAATCTTTTGTATGAAAATCTCTAGAGCAGAACTGATATGTAATTTTGATGATTCAACTTTTTGGCTCACGACAGCAACTGTGTGTAGTGAAGGTGTTTGACAATATGATTACGTTTTATAAAATGGTCAAAATGTCAATTGAAAATATACTTTATGAATAGAGCTGGCACATTGTTTGACAAAGAAGTTACAGAAATATTTAACTTTAGTGTCATTAAAACACTTTTTTGAGTAAATAAAGCAACGGTTCTGAAAAAAGTTTTGAAATCTTCTAGACATTTAAATGATTATTGTTTTCTTATAAACTTCCATGGTATATTAAGAATGTATATAGAACCAATCAATTTTACTAGTTAAATTAAGATAGAACAAGAAAGAATAAATAATGATAATAATAATAAAACAATTTAAATGATTCAATTATGTTTTTCTCGGAGTACAACAGAAGTTAAAATGGTTGTATTAGCAGGATGTGATTCTTAACATCAAACAATATAGTTCATAAATATAAGGGACCTAACATTGAACCCTTTGGAACACCAGTAGTTCATCGTATATAAAATGTATTTATAGGTAGATGCACATGAAGTGCAACATTGTGACTTCATAATGGTTAAACAGTTTAACACCTTTACATCAGAACATATTGCACAGTCCAAAGATTGTATTTAATTTGCCGAGTAGTCCTATAGTTATTTAACCATTTAGTTATTTTTTGTATAATGAAGGTTTTAAAATGATGCAAAAAAAAACAACAAGAGACTAAATGAGAAAATAAGTAATGCGGCTTTTTGTAGATTTTCATTTTGTTTCTCTAAAACACAATAATTATATGATTGATTTTAGGAGACATGTGATACATGCTAACCTAAGACATATGATACATGCTAACTTAATTAACCAGTGATGAATCATAAAAGTACTGAATAGCAAAAACAATGAATGCAAATAAAATTAATAGATAAATGATTAATGTTGATATGCCATTTTAAGAAACCAATAAAACTGTGTAATTGTTTGTTAAGCCGCAAAGTTAATTTGTTCGTTTTGTTTGGTTTGGTTTTACGGCGCACCAACTAAGTTTAATTGAAAATTTTGCACGAAGAGAAAAACAAAATTAATTTTGAAGATTTACTTAACTAACGCTTTAACCGGCAAACAGTTTTATCTTGCAATGAGTAATTTTGTTAAGGAGAAATGAATGTTTACAAACTAGTCCAAATAGGTTTTTTAGTAACATGAGCAATTAATGTTCGATTTGGGATTTTTCCACAAAGTATAAATTTGGGCTTTACATGCACATGGCTTAGCTCTATATCATAAGTGTGGTAAAAGATATCGTTATTAGAGGGTAAAATTGACACGTTTATGTATCAATTGTTACTTTTATGTTGTTCGTATATATTATGACGAAATTTCACAAACATAAGGTCAACAACAACGTGTATCCTGCAAACATTGCATAATCACATGCTAACTGTAAGTTTAATCTATTTCACCTTCTGTAACTATAGCAATAATAATTATAATTGTTAAAAATTTATATCACTTGACGGTATTCATGTTATTAAAATGGTCTCGACTTCTGACTGAAGTAAGGCTTTTGCTAAAACTGCCTAATGATGGTTGCAATACTGACAGTTCCAAGACGGTGTCCCTCCGTGTTCCTAATTGTTAATTGGTAATTGTTAAATGTTACATGTATTGACACGTGTCGTTGCTTCGTATTGTCCTCGCCTACGTTGAATAAATCTTTTCTCTCTCATCTTTCACATATTTTTACATCGGTCTCCATATTTTACAATCCCTTATAAGTCCTGTGTATACCTTTACATAATTAAACACTCTTTGGGTTTCCTCAGTTACTAGCTCATTGAAACCGTTTATTAGTACGCACTCTCAATGCCTCACCCATGGTTGCCCTGCTTGATGTCTTTTGTAGTGGTCCTGTGTGCCTTGATGTTGTCATTGCCAGTGGACGTTGCTCTGTTTTTGCTGATCTTTTGTCTCATATTTCGCAATATAAGTGTATCGGTGAAAATATTTTTCTCTTACTGTAAGCTATGTGATATATAGAAATTTATTACTTAATTTATTTACCTGGTTATATACGGCAAGTATTTAAATTAATTGTGATTTTAAACGATCCAAAAATAATTTGAAAAATACAAGTGCATGTATAAATAATCATTAAAATAACAACCTTAGTTTAATCATATTTTATTTTATGCACATACATAAAATTAATCAATGAAACATAATAATACATAAAAAAGTTAATGCAAGTAAGCAGAAGGGTACAAAAGTTAATACAGCATTATCGGGCCTGTTCTAGATGAAATCACCCTAAAATGGTTTACATGGAATCTTATTCATGCAATTATTATTGTAAATACAATGTTTCTAAAAACAACGACACATATATTGGCACAATTCTTTCATGGTATATAAACATATCATACCAGTAATAAAGACACTTTTACCAAAATATTTTAAAATATCTATTTTCACAATTAATTTTATTGGATTTTATCGATATACCCTCGGTGCATAGAGTCCTCTATAGCGTGTCAAAATCGTTTCAATAACGTTTTAAGATCGTTTAAACCAAATTAATATGATAAAATAAAGCAGAAACAAGCAATCAAAATATTTTTGATAACAATGATTGAATTAAGATAAGAGGTATTTAATTGAAAAAGTAACTTATGCAGAATTGAAAGTTGCCTGTTCAATTAGTGTGTTCTATTGGGATAGATGGATAAAACATTTTCAACGATTACATGTATAATGATAATATATAAACCTGTCATTCGGACCAGGCTCTGGCTTTGATAGAAGAATGGTCGGTTGACAGTCTTCCCTTTCAACCTCTATGATGTTAATAGGGGATGTAGGGAATGCGTTTTCTTCCCTTTTTTTAAAAAAAGAAGACCAAACGTGACGCAAAGAAGACCAAAACTTGAAAAGTGACGCGTACATGTGATCGTTAGGTCGCCTCCTTATTGTATGTACTTGATGCGTGTCTATGGCCGCATGGTCAAGAAAAACATATTAATTAGTTGGCAATTTTTCTGCTGATTATGCTGTACATCATCCCTGACATTTTATACTGAGCACTTTGAACGAGTATTCCTTATATCATCATTAAACTAGGTCACTTATTACTGCCGACATCGTCTTGTTCACTGAATCCTTTCCGCGCAGTCCTGGACATATTTCACTGGACATATTTTACTGAGTATCTTCCGCATTTTTTAATTCATTTAATGAAATTGCATATCTAAATTGAGTTTGGATAATGCTATTCCATTCATTATCTGAAAATAAGAGATATAATCTTTAAATGATTATATTTTTGTTATATAAAAAATTAATCATTTCAATATTAAATTATCAATTATGTGGCTCTTATTTTCAGATAATGAATGGAATAGTATTATCAAAACACTATTTAAATAGTCTTATTCTTGACTGAATAAATTATACATAATCCAGTAGTTAAAAATGTACTAATAAGTAATATGAATCGTTCGAGGATTCTGAACTAGGGACGAAGGCGAATTTTTTTGAAAATTTGAAACCTTTTTTCCAAAGTTAAATGCTAGCCTTTCGGTTTCTGAATCAAGTTTATTTGGAATCTATTGTTTTGATTTATCAAAGATAAACGTATGCGGTCACTACAAATATTTACAAAATATTAATATGAAAGAAATGTGTTTGTATATTATGTTGTACTTATATTCCGTTAGTATATTCTCAATTACAACTGTCCTTCTCTTTTTTCCGGGCGCCAAAAAGGGTAACCCCATTTATTTTCCCCGTCATTGGCATAAGGAGCATCCTCCTATCAGCCTTACCCTTGCTTTAATTTTTGGACATACATGTATTTTATTGTTATAACAACGTGACATTGTATTGATACAATAACATATGTTATATATAATCTTTCCTATAGCTTTTTATGTCTATTTTTGTTAAATAACAGGTAAAAATATTACTTTTTCATTACAGCTTTTTGAAAGTGTGTTATTGTACGTATTTTATTGTTACAGTGTTGTATATTGATACAATACAACTTACGCAATATAAAATATTTACGACGTTTTTTTTTTGTCTATTCATGCTAAAGGAGCTTCTGAGGTCCAAATGCCTAAAACATAAAATTGAAAATTCTTATACAGATCAAGTGATGCAATTAAAATAGAAAAACATCTGCAAAATATAATAAGGAAATATATTCGGATTTAAATTGTAGGATTTCTAGTGCTGTTTGAGTCAACAGCGCTGCAATACTTTCCAGCTTTTGGTCATTTTGCACGATAGAAATTATTATTCTGGGAAAACGGAGTGAAGAATGACCTGAAATTTCGCACACAAATTTATAGTCAAAACCTAAATCAAATGGTACACAAATGTCGAAAAAATATCTTCCAGTGCCACAAAACCCCAAAATAGTTACTTTTAAATAACAGCTAAAATATTTTTATTACACCCTTTTATATATTAATGCTTTTCAAAGTTGAAGCAAATACTTTAATGTTACAACATTTTTTGTATTTATTTAAAGTCAAGCCGAAATGTAAAGGTATAAGGCAACTTTTCCAATTTACTGATGAAGGAAGACCTTAGGTGCTCCTTCGTGAACTATTTCAGCAGAGCGGTACCTGAGAACCTCTGTCCTTCCGGCACAATTTGATGTGGTATAAAGAGGTCAATAAACATTGATTGTTAAAGTACTGATTATTTTGGCCTTGTAAACAGCTACAAACCTATATTGGACTTGACTAGAGCATCGTCCAATATAAGTTATCAAGCTGTGCTCTCGTCAAAAAGAATTCAGCTTTGTACTAAACAATATATAATAATTATATTTAAATTTACATTATATGTCAGTTCATATTTAATGTATTTCTTTCATGTTTCAGCTGAAGGATTGGTTCCTAACTTTGATGTGCCAATATTGAATGCGACAGCTGTGTCTGGTACCACAGCAGTTTTACCGTGCACCATCACAGCTTTAAAGGACGACCATAAGGTTTATTTCTTTAGTTGTTGTTTTTTTCTGTTTTTTTTTTCACATCTCAGAAAAGCCTAAGATATTGATATTAAATGGGATATAATTTTAATACCCATTTTGTGGTTGCTTACTTGGTATTATGTTAAGATTATATTTTCTGTATATTAAACAGCAAAGTTCATCATTGTGCACTGAAAAGAGCATACCGTACTTTATAAGTCCTACAATGAAGATACAAGATTGATATGTTTTGCGTTGTAAGAAAAAACAACGTCGTTAATCGTCGTTGAATTTCTGTAAAGCTAGTGTGTACGACAGCAGTACAGCTGTTTCACAGTGTTATTTCATTAAGCTTGGGAACCTATCAAATATATGTCTATGTCTACTGCGATTCCCAGAATGGCATTTAATTAATCAAGAAGTCATTCTTTCTAATCTAACCCGACCAAAGACAAATCGTAAAGTAATTAAATAAAACAGGGCATGCAATAAAGTATAGACAGGCAGATATATAGACGGCCGTACTGTTGCTAAAATCCCCAGTTTCTTCAATAGCAAATTACGGAGTTAAGGAATGCTTTAACAAACGTTTCTTCTGTACGTTTTACAGTCCCAATCTAAATTAATTTACAGAGAAAATCAATGGGGAAAATGTAAGACGAAACAGTTTCATGTATTACTTTAATTTCCTTAACACTATTAAATAACACCATAACATGCCAAACCGAGACGCCGTCGCTGCTATATAGCTTGATTGGCATTGTGAAAATTTTAATCACATTTTTTTCCTCAAATCAACAATCTACATAGAGAAATATTTTTAATCCTCTTAAGAGAGTTTTTGTTATTATTTTAGCTAATACAAATGTATTTGAGGGTTGTTCCAACAAAATAATCATTTGGAAAAGAAATAAATAGATTTACTTTGGTGAGGGTTGGTATGCAAGGAAATAAATTTTTAACAATATTTAGATCAAGTCAATTTGATCGTTCTTGAAATAAAGGCGAAATAAAGTTAATTGATACATGTATTAGAAGATTTTTTTATTATTTCCGTCATCCCTCGTATGTATGTGATTTGTTTGGAAAGTAAACCTTATATTAATTTACTTATCTTACTTAAAACATATTTCTTTTTCATTTACTAACATTTATTTTTGTAATATTACAAATGAAACCAAATACAATTTCAAAACTTCTTGGTAAAATTATGAGCCAGATCATATATGAACTCAAATGTTATTGACTTTTATTTCACGAAATTTAATCTTGATGTTTATTTTCAGTATTGAAAATCAGAAATATGTTGATGATGATGGCATATTTAATTGCAAAGTAGTTTTTAAATATTCAAATCGTATTGAAATGGTATTTTAATCGTTAGGACACTTACATTTGTACGTTATAGAATATCCCATTCAAAAGAATCTTGCATACTCTTAATCAAATCGATGCAACATCATTTTCATGTGAAAAGGTAATAATATCTTTTATATACTTTACAAATAACTTATGTATTATTCCTTGTACAACGGAGTCAAAAAGATATACATGGCATCTCATTTTAATGACGTAATGAAAACAACCGTTTCTTTTCTAAATATAGTAACACATTTTGAATTTCATTTATTGGTACGATAAAATGATTTTAGGCAAGCAAACCAATTATTTATCACTTTAAATTTTTATCACAATCTATATAAAATTGGATATTTAGCCATTTAGGTAAACATTTTAACACTTTATTATGTCATATTAAACAAATAAAACTTAATTTAGAAAACAATGATAATGTTTTAACATAAATACATTACTATAAACAACCTTTTTATGCATATTACAACCTTATCAAAACACTCAAATGTTAAAAAGATAAATGATAAGTAAACTTTCTGTAGTGTGAGACAGAGTTATCTATGTGACAAAGACGGTTATCCCTCACAGTTTTTGGGGGGACTCATTGTCAAACTGATGTATTGTCCTTTATAACTTTCTAAAGTATTTTATCTCTATTTATTAATCAATACATTAACACTATGATGAGGCATTGAGAGGCGCGGACAACGCTAGTATCAGACGCACTTTGCTAGATTGATTTTCATCAGAAATGATTAATTCTTGCAGACACATACTTATTGTTTACACTTGTCAAACAATACTTCTAATACATTTTGATAAATGACATATTTTGACAGTCGTTGGCCTCCGAAATATCCATTTGTGTTATTAGCATGTTTTGAATAATTATACACTTAAGGGAGATTGTGATGTGTAAGCGTGTAAAATAGATCACCGTTGCGTGAAATTTATAACAAAAATTACCATAAATATCAAACAATTCTCGGTAATTTTACCTCCTTTTTTAAGTCTTAATTGAGAAATTAAAAAATATGTCTATTTTGACAAATAATGCCGAAAAATTCATAAAGAAATAACAGCGTATAATAACTTTAACCTATTGTTTAAATGATATAATTCTTTAACAAAAAAACTTTCGAACGTTACCTATATATTCTGACTAATCAAATGGCAACATATTTAGGGCTGAGCTTTACAGTTTTTTTCTGACTTTTATTACGAGCCATGTTCACTACAAATTTCAAAGTCAATAAAATGTGATATAAGCTTAAATGTTGTCAAAAGAAAAAGGCCGATGAACTAGTAAAAAATGCCAATAGTAATTATAATTGTTATAGTAATAAAAATAACCAAAACAGGAAACATACCACCCCTCCCCCCCACACACACATTTTCCATCTTTAAACCAAGAATTTTTTTTAAAAAAAAACGACAAATTACAACAACAAAGAAAGAAAGAAAACAACAAATTACAACAACAACAGAACAAATATGCATGATTACACATAAAAAACATTGTCTGTGGACTATCGTCAACATGAAAAATCTGTTGTATGATTGTAATTTTGAACTTACATAAATTGGCATGAATATTGCATTATACGGTCAGTCTAAGTTGTTGTTAGTTAGCCGTTGTTGGTATTCGTATAATTGGGAAAGAATTATCTTCAGACGAAACGTCCGTTTTATTTTTTTAATCGAATATTTAATAAGTTTAACTCAAAGAAACATGTTTGATATATCTATGTTTCTTAATTTTAGCACACGCCAGTCAGCTGCAAACAGAACTTGTCTGATACGTCTGAAAACTGCAATTTAAATAAGTCTTATCTTTTACCTTAATTCGTTTAAAAGGAAACAAATTTCATGTTTTATCTAGCAAGGTTGCGACTATTTCCTTCCTGCATGTTAAACATTTTATGAAGTCACGCAATGTTAGATATTTATCTATTGATTTCTGTATAACAATTTGGTCAAACTATATTTGTTTATTTATATTTCAAAATGTTGTTTTTGGAAAGAAAGTTCTGTTTTACTTGAGCGTCATTTTTTGGATTCAGCTTTCTCGTTGGGTTTTAGCGATATTTCGAGACCAATCAAAACTTCAGGAACTAAAGGTCACATTACTTGATTAGAACTTTAAAGATATATTTTCATTGTATATTTTTTCGGGTATTATAGTATCAAGAAATGTCGATGTATTGTAAAATATAAACAATCAAAGATACCGAGAAAAGTTACAAACAGTCTGTTCACACCAATAGTAAGGATGGAAGCAAAATGAGAAAATTACTATTGTGGTTCCTGATTTAGGATGCTTTGTCAAGGGAAACAAACTTTTTTTTATACAAATACAGCTATTTTCTGTTTTGGAATGAGCAATTGAATGTTAAGCATATGAATTAAGAAAAAGAAATCAGATGTAGTTATTGAATATAACATAAACATGTGAACGAAGGAGTAAGGCGTGGAGGAGTTTGATATGCATGTGAGTATAGTGATGAACTGGTAAATGATTCTATTTAAAAAGAAAACTCACAAAGTGCTTTTTTACATATCTTTTTTAGTTTATACATGTATAACACCTCATATAAAGAATTTTGTTTATTTCCAAACAAAGCGGGCAGAATGTTAATGTTAATTGTATGCACATATGTAAATATTGAAGAGAAATATACACATTTGTCAAAACCAAACATTGTATATGAAATCATTATAACTTACGCAATGCCTTATATGAGACTAAACAAAATGTTCCAAACAATTCAATTTAATAACCGTACTAACAAAAAAACAGCATTATATATAATATAAATTTACGTTTAGAAAAAGACGCAAAATACTGTCCAAATATTCAATTGTACATTTCTTTGAACACTTTGGAGTAACCATGATAAGGTACGAAGGAAAAATAGTTAACGATTTAACAACATTTACACGCTATCAAAGTAATGAATCATTGTTGAAGCCACATGATCATTTACATCTAAATTTGTCCGCGAAACAAAGCAATTTGTTTGGTCTGTTAGACAGGATTAGCTTAAATGGGAAATTGTACATCAGGGACAACTTGTACCAGATCAGTTATCTTTCTCTATTACCCTTCCTCAATATGGCCAGTTTGTATTCTCTTTCAGTCGAAATATGTCTTTCTAACATTTTCTTAACGATATGTTGTTTTTCCCCAACAATCCAGCATGGAAAAATCTGTTTAGCGTCGTTGTGTAAAACAATTTGAAATGTTTTTGGGCAGAAAATTTGAATTATAAATGACATTATACGCGTTTTTTTATCAAATATTTAGAAATTGTATTTTGAATCAGTATTAGCATAAAAATGCTCGAAATATTATCATCTTTGTTATTGTTTCTATTAATTTGAAACCATGGTGAATGATTTGATTCAATTTGGACAATAAGTGCAACGGTGTAAATTTCATATATTAGTGGATTGGGTAAAAATCTGTAAAACTATATTGGGATATCATTTTTAGTAGAATAATTATTCGTATCACGTTATGAGTCATACCAAAAGTATCTTAATTGGAGAAAAGAATGTTTGTATTTCTATGAAAGTGTGCAGCGAATATGCAAAATAATCAATTAAGTTCCCAAGTTAAAATAGCAAAATAGTATTTTGATAATAGGACTATTTTGTTATGTTTGTCTAAACATAGCTATTTAATCTCAATTGCGAATCAAATTGTTGCAATTTATATTAATCACTTGCGAGTCAACTTCCTGGAACTAATCAGTACAATGTCATATGAGAAGTCATGGTCGGAACTGGAGTAGGGTTTTACACCCATGATCCTAAGAGGCAGACACCTTAACAACTAGGGCAGCCTCATCTTTTGTTCTGTTAACTAGTATTATTCATATTCGCTAAATTAGACAGATACCCTTTATTGAATATATTTAAAGTGTATGAAAACTACGATATACATTTAATGTTTTATTGTATCATGGTGTTCATAGAATCAATTTGCACTTGCTTGAATAAACTAAATTATGGAGATCGACGGACAAAACTAAGTTATAAATAAAGAAATCTTTAATTTTAGCATTAAAATACAATTACAATTAAAATGTTGCATTTATAAATTATACTCTAAAGACTGACTTACAGTGTTCCAAAAACTTTCATCAAGAAAAAACAAAATGTAACCTAGTTCTATGATAATTATGGCTACCATAATTAAATTGAAACAATTTTATTAAGCCTTATGGTACAGTAACCAACGGTTTTCACGGGAAATGTCCACAAGTTACCCCAATTTGATGAAATTATAGTATCTTATATAGACTCGTGTATGCCTGAAAAAAATACAAGTTTACTGTTTTAAGGTTGGACTAAAAACCCGAACTTTAATGTTTGCCCAGGATTACGTAGTCACACGCCAGTTAAGCTTTGAAAATTCAGACCAGTACGCCACTCATTTACATAAATAGTCCACTTGATTAAATATGTTTGTTTGAGTTTTTATATTCCAATGAGTGTATGTTCAACTCATAACACATAACAATTGCACTTAAAAGGTACATTTGTTGGCAATTCAAATCAGTAAAACGTAAACAGCGTGTTTTAATCAAATGGACAAACACGTTATTTTAAAACGAGAGCATTAAGTTAAAACATTTATAAACATAAACAAACTTGTTGAGTTTAAAGTGTTTTGACCAAATTTGTATATGCAGGTAGCGTGGGTAGACCCGAGGAAAAAGTTGTTAACGGTTGCGGAGAAGAGAATTATTACAGACCCTCGTATCAGTGTAGAACGACCGTTTACAAAGGACTGGAATCTACATATCAGAAATGTACGTCTGAACGACAGTGGCGAGTATCTATGTCAGATCAACACTAAACCAGTAAAAAGCATGAAAATATTACTCACAATTCATGGTAGGTACTAGATGTTTTTATACTTTTAAGTTTTAAGTTTGAATTTGATATTTTTTAATTAAAAATTAAACGAATGATGATACATTGACGACAAATGCTCGGATATAGGACCGGGCTTTTCAAGACTAGGCTTTGTTTCGTGTTCTGGTCTTGACCGTCTTATATAAGCCTTGTATTAAAAAGGGGGTTGTTTCATAAATCTATGACGGATAAAGCACGAAAGCTTCAACAAAATGTCATATATTATAGCTAATTCAAAATATATGTTTACATATTCCTTTTACGCGTGTTTCATTAGAATAGCACTTTCTGCATATTTTTTTTAAAAGTTATAGGTTGTTCATGTGAATGAATCAAGTTAAATTACTTAATTGGTATAAATTTGGTATCACTTTTCATATTCTAGATCAGTTTTAAATGTTTATTCAAAAGTGAACTATATTGAGGGATGCTGCTTTAAACATGAGAACGTATAATTTATCAATGTATGTATATTGTACTACAGAGCCTCCATCAATACTCGAACATTCCGGCGACCAGACGGTCAGAGAAGGTGATACTGTAGCGCTGTGGTGTAAAGTTGGCGGAGAACCCTACCCAGCTGTCACGTGGTACAGGCAATATGTGCACGAGAAAAATTCAGCTAAATCTAGTATGTTCTATGATAATATGTTCATATAAAAATAGTGTATGTTAGTGTACATTCGTATGAAACATAATAATGTTAAGTTCTTAAAGAACCATTAAAATAACCCTTTTTTTCACATTAAAAAAAAGATATTGTCGTTAGATGAACTTGTACCTATATAGTTACTTTATCTAACAAAGAACTTTTGATACGGCCACTAGTAAAACTTTTCAATTTTCTCTGATAGGGTGCAACTCAATATGGTCTGTAGATAATTGAAAATCTGTCAAGAAAACGGAAAATAAAACAAATAAAGTACTCCAAGACCTAGTGAGTTATAACTGTAGAATAGAAGGAGACACGATGAAACAGGCTTGCGTCAATATTGGGAGGAATTTAACATTCTAGTGAAACTATTTTATTTCAGATTATAATATTATAATTCCGTTTTAAATCTTTTTTCTATATACCAGATCAATATTTTTTAAGATATCAAAATGATAATTACATTAAAAATATTTTACGGATTACCAAATCAATATACAATGTATCAAAATATCAATAATAATTACTTTATCTTTTACAATCTTTTACTGATTACCAAATTACCAAATCAATATATCAAAATATCAATTTAATAATAACTTTTAGAATCTTTAACTGAATATCAAGGTATCAATATAATAATTACTTTAAGAATCTTTTACTGATTACCAAATCAATATATCAAAATATCAATGGTAATTACTTTATTAATCTTATTTTACTTTTCAAACCAATATATAAAAATATTATAATTTCTGGTAACATACTGTTTATAATGATTCATAAACATATATTTAACTGGTATTGTAATGTTGATTACAGACGTACAAATATAACTTTATACCATTAAAAAGATTTTTAAAAAGACACAGATCAGTGCAACATGCTAAATGAGCAAATGGTTTCTGACCTCCATGTTTCTAAATACTGTTCATCTTTATTTTGTTTTACCAGTCATTTTCGTGTCCTAATTTATCGGCTTTTATTATTCTCAAAATAGATAAGAATAAGTTCGATCGAAATAATAAAAATCAGATCTGGATTTTTAAATTTCTACATGTATATCTATATACTTCTATTTTAAAATAATAAATATTATTATTAAATTTAGATATTGTTGTATCCACTTACAGTCTGACTGCATTTAACACTACATGTACATTCATTCTTTTACTATTTCTTTTTTATTACAGTGGTTAGTTGCTTTTAGAGTTTACTGGATATTAGTAATATGCTTAGATATAAATACATTTCGTTTGCTTAAACTTTCTAAAGACATGGTCACTAGAATATGAATATAATCTTAATTGTACAGTTTTGAAAATTGTATAGTATTTTGTAACTCCTTAAAATTTGATTATATCATCTTAGTTACTTTGTTGTGCAAGACAATTTCTCAGCAACATACCGATCGGTTGTTAATTAAGGAACATTTCTAAATATGTATTTTTTGAAATTTTGTATTTTTTTTTGCAAGCAGTTACATACATCTCACTGTCAATTGTTTGCAATGACATGGAAAAATGAATCGTAACGACAAAACATGTGTCTAGCACAGTTCCATGAGGTTTTGACATCAAATGTTATCCCATGAGGTTCATAGACCTTCCGCACACCAAATTGCCTTTTTCCATGATGTCCGCTTACTAAATACACCGTTCCGCGAGTCAATAAATCAAATAATTTGTTGAGCTATTTTGTCCGTTGTTGCTTATACTGCTTTTAAGAAAAAAAACATTATTAAAGTATTACAATTAAAAAGTTCTTAATTGTTTAAAACATATAACCGTTAACTTGTATATATTTTTCAGTTATCGGAGAGGAAGGTGAAGCATTAAGAATCCACAACATATCAAGATATTGTGAAGATGTGTATGAATGTGTAGCTAATAATGACATAGAACCTACCGCCAGTAAAAGAATGAAAGTTAGCGTGGAATGTAAGTTCCGTTTGAATACCATCAAGTCAACAAAATAATTCTTTGCTAGACCAGATATATTAAATATAACTTAAGCATTTGTGATAACATTTTCAAGAATGTAAATTAGGTTTTATGTAAAGACGTCGTCTGGACAGTAGATTATAATGAAATACTTTTGATTTGTTTATAATTTACAGTTCCCCCAGAGGTACAATTATACAACACCAGAATGGGACAAGGTCAGGGCAAAGAAACTATTATAGATTGTAAAATTACTGCAAATCCTCAAGGTTATATTGTGTGGCAAAGACAAGGGAGAGAGATTACCAACAGCCACAAATATGGCATCACAGTGTACGAGGAGGATAGGTACACCACGACTCTAAGTTTACGTATTGCACGATTAAATGAAGATGACTTCGGTAAATATAAATGTCACGCACAGAATAAATATGGAACGGACACTGAAGATATGATGCTATATGGTAAGTCGTGAAATTAATGAAGATATATCTATCACAAAAAATATTTAAACTGATTGTTAATAATTCGGAATCATTTGCTTTTATTCGTTTTGCAGACGTGAATGAAGGGGATCCAAAGAAGATATACATTTCATGTTTTTCATTGCACTTTGTATTATAAATTAGTAGGTCCATACGCATGTGAAGGTGTACTGAACATACTGCTTTTCTAATCTTACATTATGTTTATCTTTCTCTAACATTTCTACACAGTAACTAGTTGGTAAACTTTTTTCTGTTCCTTGTTTTTGTGTATGTTTATCAACATCACACAGTTCTGTACAGACTCTCGATGTTATGCCATTTTGATTGGCATATTTTGTTATTGTAGACAAATACAGGAACAAATATAGCTGTAATAAAATTTGGCAATCATTTATTTGATTTTTTAAATCACTGTAGAGTTCGTAGAACCGCAAATCACAAGTACGAGTAGTACAACAACTGAATACTTGGTGATAGATGATACAAATCCGTGGAAGAAAAGACTTCCGGTTTATAATGACCGATATTCACCTACACAAGGTTTAGAAAATCATAAATATAGAGGTAAGAACATAAAGCATTGATATGACTAATCGCTTTGCTTTAAAAGAAACAATTTCTCATTTTAGATATTATTTGTTAAGATGGATTTTTTTGCTACAATTTGAAATACATTTGTTTATTTGATAATGGTAATTTTCATATACTTGGCGGCCATCTTGGACGCCATCTTGGATTTTTCGCACTGCACCATGATTGGAGCTATCACCCTCGATATTCTACAATTCAGATATTCCTGTAACAGATTGTGCATAATTAGTTAATACTATAAACGATACTTCACACTTCTTTAAGCATAATTCAAAATGCTTTTAAATCATTTTTATTCAATATACTGTACTTCATTGTTTATTTAATTATATTTTTCAGGGAACGCTGGAGCATCACGTGCTGGTACAGATAGCACGTGTTCCGGAAGTTACCATGTTATACTTACTATGTGGAGTATAACTGTCCATTTAGTTATTTATTATTGTCGGAGATAACTAAACATTTAATATTGAAATTATTGCGTTGACTGACCACTAATTCAGACAGTAATCTACCTTTTGATATTGTTCTATATTTCGACATTGTTTTATATTTGGCCATGTTCTATAGTGAAACAATATTCTAGATATAGACAGTGTTCTGTATGTAAACGCTGTCTTTTAAAAAAAAGTTCTATTCTTAGACATTGTTGTACGTTAAGACATTGTTCTAAATTAATTAAAACAGTGTTCTATATTTAGACATTGTTCTATTTTTAGACATTGTTTCATTTTAAGACATTGTTCTATGTTAAGACATTGTTGTATGTTAAAACAATGTTCTATATTTAGATATTGTTCTATGTTAAGACATTGTTCTATGTTAAAACAGTGTTCTATATTTAGAGATTGTTCTATATTTAGACATTGATCTGAGTTTAGACATGGTTCTAAATCTAGACACTTTTCTATATATAGGCATTGTAAAAGAAGTTAAAGATAGAGGTAGAGATCTTTATCTGTTTGCACAGACTGACGTTTTCTGCGCCAAAACTTCTAAAACTGCTTATGTCAACATAGAAACTATGGACACGTAACTTTACTTATGAAAATAATGCTCCACGCAAGGACAGCCGGAAACTTGGTTGGCGTGCCAGGACTACTGCATGTTAAAGTGCATAAAAACTGAAAGCGTAATCATTTATCTTATAGAGGAATAAATCTTATCAGTGCACAAGTTGCACTATAAAATCCTTAATAAAAGTTTTAAGTAAACATATTTTATTGATCTTGTATTAGCTGTAGAAATTTTAGTGCAAATATAATGCTACATCAGAGAGATTCAACTACTCATGGTTCATTTTATTTTACAATAAAACGTCATTCTCAAGAGTTTAGGTCTTGATGAATGTGCTAGTACTTAAAAAGTCTTGGTTTTAATGTTAAATCTAATGAAAAATTACCTTTACTGCGTAATGTCACAGTTTTATAACATAGAAAATGGGTGCATTTTATATCCTATTGGATTTTTTCGAGTTTATTTTTGTAAATACAATGTAGTTCAATTCCCTCTTCGCGGATTTGTGTTTATTTTACTCAAAAGAATGGGGTGAACAATGGAGTAAATGTAAGAGACAAATACATGTACATGTAATTAAAATATGGCAAGCTGTTTTGCCTATTTAGATGTTACATAGTACATGTAGCTATGAAAAAGAGATGCTTTTTAGGCTTATGTTATAACTTAATTATATTTACCAGCATGGTCTGTCCGTCTGACCGTTATAATCAAGATTAATCTAAATCTTATATGGCTGATTTTCTTTTCAAACGTATTTTAAAAGTATTAGAAGATGTGCACAATTAATTTTCACATACAATACGTTTACATATTATATATTGTATGAAAGACAATGTGAATAGATTTAGATAGATAGATTTATTTCGGCATAGGAAGCATATACATAGTTGACAACATAACATAGGATAAAATAATGAGCATTATTAAATACTATATCACATATGAGAAAACTATGACATGCTCACCAACACCAAGGATAACACAAAAAAGGGCAAAAAAAAAGCTCTTATTTCCATTGTGGTAGAATGAAGAAGTATAGAAAAAATACACACATACGTAATGGCTGTGCAGAATTTTAATACTGAATTATAAAAAATACTGAATTATAAAAAATAAACTACAATATATATATAAAAATTATGCTTTGTTCTTCAGACTGGCGAAACATAATGTAAACATTTTAATCAAGTTCTACTCACACATTTCTAAAAAGTAATTGTTTCTATTATAAAATTATGTACTATTTGATAGTATGAAAACAGAATAAAACGTTCCTAACAAAATCATTTCGTACGAGTACTGTTTATTTTTTATGATTTTTTTTCTTTCAATTTTGTAACAGAGTAGCTATAGACTTTTGAATGATTTTTGTAAAGATACCGAGTACTATTCTACTGTACTACTTTATAAACCTACTTATTTATTCTTTTATCATCTTGCAAATGAAACATATATGCAAAGAAGCCCGGTGTCTGAGGCAAACGTTCAAATGTTTTTGTATTTTAAGAGATAGATATTTTGGCACAATATATAAGTTTTTTGAGAAAAAATGATATTGTCAGTTGCCATGGTTACATACTGAAACTATATATAGCAAGATTTAGAGAGAGAGAAAAAACACAATCTTGTCCGGTCCGTTGTTATGGTAACATACTGGCACTATCACGGTAGGGAATCACGTGACTTTTACGGTTACGCGTACAGACAATATGGCGGCCTAAAAACCTCGCTTCACATGTGTTTTTAAGGTAATTCTTTATTATATCCCTTTTACTTACATACGAGACCTGTTGCAGCCTACGCAGAATAAAGAATTGTTGCCGCCTATACCTTAGTTTCCACCCCTGTGCTCATAGCTTTTACAAACACTCAAAAATTCAACAGAAATTTTCAATGTAAACAATTATATTTCGGGTAACATTCACGCAAAATTTGTATTTTTTATGAATTTGATTAAACTACGTCGTGTTAGCAAAGAGAAAATGTTCATAGAATTTCTTTATTTGAAAATGTAAATATTAGGCATGTTAAATGTTGACAAGTCATTTTCTATTCCATTACACGAGAGAAAAATGATTTGGGTAACTCCCACGCATACTTTTATTGTTGATAACTCCCACGCAATATTTTATGTGCAGGCAATATCTATGCAGGTTATAGCCTAGATATTGATTGAAAAAATCATGATTGATGCATTTAGCATCAAACTTTCATAGAATTTTGAATAATATTAAAAATACCGCAAATAGGTCCTTGATAGAAGTAACCCAGCAGGCACATCAACGGTGAACAACGTTGAAGTATGATCAGATTTCAACGTTGAAATAACGTTAGATTTATGTTCGAATTTGAAAGTTTAAAAAACGTTGAAGTTCAACGTTGGCACAACGTTGAAGTTTCAATGTCATTTCAAGATACTTTAATATAAATATAAAGCAATTAAAGTACTGTACGTAACAGAGTTTAACCAAAAAATCAAGACACTATTAAATACTTCAGCTATTTTATTTCAAAACTACAGTTCAAGTGTAGCTAAAATTCAAACGATTTAAGAAGTCCTTTTAGTTTAACAATTAAGCTACAATCTGTTCCAATCTACCGCTAGTTCCTCTTCTAGAGCTCTCTTGGTATGTCTAAAGTGTGTCATGATGGTGTTTGAATACTTCTACTGCTTCTGCAAATAAAATAAGAAGTTACATGTTAAAATTGACTTTGTCAATCTCAAATTATATATACAAAACAGTAATTAATCAACTTAGTGATTTGTTTTATCTTAAAATGCTTATCTTCTAAGATTTACATAACAAAACAGCATATAGAAATTAAGATACAGCTGAAGTTTCATATTGACAGTAAATTATGTACAAAAACAACAAAAACTTTTTTAAAAGAAGCTATTTTTGCAATTTTGAGACGTCCCCTCGTTGCCATGGTAACAGGAAATTTAACTTGAAAGAGGAGGCTTTTCAGTGAAAATGGCCATTTTTCACAATATGCTCATGGGTGAAAGGGTTAACTTAAAAAATTATAAATGTTACAAAACAACAATTTTCACTAAAATTAGGTAAAAGACCACATGTTAACATGTAAAAACTAGATTTTGGGTGATTCAAAAGTTTTTCATCATTTTTTGTTAGCCCTTTACCCCTCGTTGCCATGGTAACAGGAAATTTAAGACTGAGCATGTCGTTACAAAAGCAATGGTCCAGTCAACATTTGTGCCAAGTTTGATTAGTATTGAAGCATTTTTCATAGTTTCATAGCAGTTTGAACTTGTAAGAGGAGGCTTTTCAGTGAAAATGGCCATTTTTCACAATATGCTCATGGGGGAATGGGTTAAGTCTGACCTATGATTGGTAAGAAAAACTGCTCCCATCAGTTACGTCAGCATTTTCCTAAGAACAGTCCTTTCCATGTTAAATTTATGGTATAGAAGCTACAGCTGTAATACTTTAAATTTCAGCCAGGACCAGGATCTAGAATATAAAATAAACTTATTATTCCATATATATTCACGGCAATTAAACTTAAAATTAAACACTCAACTTTATTATTTAACCACAAACAGTTTAATCAATATTTATTTTGAAAATGCAATGGATTTAATGTATTTTTCAAACTATCACTAAGATATAAAATTAATACAGCTAAATTGACGAATCGTCTTGGGGCGTAAATTATATGGGGCGAACAACACTTCATCTGCTTATAGGTTACAATAATATGATAAATAAATTTCAAAAAGGCATGGCTTGTAAAATCATAAATTGCCAAGGACATCAATAACTTCGCGTAAGGCCTACCAAACCCAAAACATTCAATTAGGTCGCGTTTTGACACAAGAGTCTAAAATATTAGAAAATATTAGAAGGAGGTGTATTTCTGTTTTTATTAGTAAAATTACAGTTGTCATTTTTCATATTTTGCAGATATGGAAGGTTCCGGATATTGTTTGTGATAAATGTGGGAAACATTTCATTCACGGGTAGGTCTCAAATATTGACCACATGAACAGTCTACACGGCACAGGACCTTATAAATGTTGTGGTAAAACATTTTATAGCCCAGCAAATCGGAAACGTTACGGGTTTTACTGCTGATATTAAGATGACATTCAAACATAAGTCCTCTAGATTTTATTACCTAGTTTGTAAAATAAAAGACCCATTCTAATATACTTTAGGTTGTTTTCTTTTATGCTTTAGATTAAAAAAAACACACACAACATAATAATGTTAAATACAGACACTAATTTGAAAAAAGTTGGTTTCATAAAAGACTAAGTGATAAAATGACTTGAATGTCTTTGAAATCTAAATACATGTATAACGAATAACATAAAATGCCATACCTGTCACGTTTCGATTTGTCACAACATTTACAAAGTCCTGTGCCGAGTAGCCAGTTTATGTGGTCATTAAGACAAATGTTGCCCAACATTATCCACAAACAGTACCCGAACTGGAACCGCCCATATCTGCAAACTATGACAAATGACAACTGTAATTGTGCTTAATATACTGAAATCGACCTCCTTCTTATATTTGAGACTCTGCGATTAATTCATCTATATCGAAACTTCATTTAATATATTCACGTGCGTATGTATTCTGCTATCCATAGGGGCTTTATTCTATCCAGGACCTTTTGGCGGTATTTCTAATATTATTCAAAATTCTTTGAACGTTTAAGGCTAAATGCATCAATCATGATTTTGTTCAATCAATATCTAGGCTATAACCTGCATAGATATTGCCTGCCCATAAAATATTGCGTGGGAGTTATCAACAATAAAAGTATGCGTGGGAGTTACCCAAATCATTTTTCTCTCATGTTTTGGAATAGAAAATGACCAGTCAACATTTAACATGCCTAATATTTACATTTTCAAATAAAGAAATTCTATGAAAATTTTCTCATTGCTAACTCGACTTAGTTTAATCAAATTCATAAAAAATACAAATTTTGCGTGAATGTTACCCGAAATATAATTGTTCACATTGAAAATTTCTATTGAATTTTTGAGTGTTTGTAAAAGCTATGAGCACAGGAGTGGAAACTAAGGTATAGGCGGCAACAATTCTTTATTCTGCGTAGGCTGCAACAGATCTCGTATGTAAGTAAAAGGGATATAATAAAGAATTACCTTAAAAACACATGTGAAGCGAGGTTTTTAGGCCGCCATATTGTCTGTACGCGTAACCGTAAAAGTCACGTGATTCCCTACCGTGACTATATACTAGTAGTAAAGTATAATCTTTTCAATTGCCATGGTAACAAACTGATAGCAAGATTTTGAGACGAAATCTTACATTTGTTATGTTAACATACTTATTGTATATACATGTAGCTTTTTATTGAGAAAAAATATTTTGCCAGTTGCTATGGCAACACTTTGAATATCATAAATATACCCATCATAACCATATATACATAATATAAGTTTCAAAACATTCACAGGTTGAGAGACCAAAAATAAATTATTTTTCCATTTTAGAAGGGAACATTTCTTATTAAAGATCAATAGAGCACGGTATTGGGATCAATATATGTAAATAATGTCTGCAGAAAATGAGAATTCTATTGCATAATATGATACGAAGTAAAGATAAGTATATTACTTTGAAAATCTTTGTGATATTTTATCTATCTCATAGTAAAATCATGTTTTGTGAAACACGCATTTTCTGGTAGTTATTTTTTTGTAGTTTGTATATAAAAAATAATTGTTTTTGTTAGTACTGAATTATATTTTGTTTAGGATATAAACACATTGTTATATTATGTTTTATATGTTGAATAAATGTTTATCACTTCTAAAATATTTTTATTTTAGCAACATGAAAGAGTACTGAGTGCTGATTATGGAAAGCCTTGACTGTCTTATGTTTATCTTAACAACGTTTAGGTTTATAATTATAAGACAGTCATGGCTTTCCATAGCTGATAGTAATTTTTTTAGCTGACACATTACCAGTATTCATACGCGCTCTATGTACATGTATACAATATAGATATATTACAATGCTTGATAAAAAGTAAACATGATTTATTGTAAAATTTTGTTTGTATAAAAGTTGTCATTTACTGAGAGAGGTTTCTTGTAATTTGTCATCTCTATATATGAGGAATATGTTTGTATATATTTGATGTTTTATGCAATGTAAATAGTCATTCCAGTTGTTCATAATTTCAAGAATAAATCTTTATCAGTTGTCTTACGCGTTTGTCCATTTAATCAAAACCTTTAAGAAATATATATCATATAAAATCGAACGTAACAACACAGTTGCGCAGCTTCCTATAGACCAAACCAAGTAGGCCGCGACTTGCACTTTTTTCTAGGAACGTGAAGAAATAAATATCGTTTGTTTGTCTAACGGCAATTTCTTATAATCCCTTTAACATATTCTTTGTACTAAATATTCGTCCAAATGCGACTCCAACAATACAAAGTAAAAGCTATTTCTCGGTGGATGGCGCATGTCCTCAGACCCCTTCACGTGAGTTTTAACAAAGCCCCGCCCCTTTAACTAGAAGTCACACAAATAATTAAGTGTTACATAAAGACTTTTAATTGGGTTTTACCTCGCATCAACACATTATAGGTCATATGGCGACTTTTCAGCTTTACATTAGGAGGAAGACATCAGGTGTCCATCTGTGCGTTATTTCAGAAACGATTGGACACTTAAAGAAGTTTTAAAATTGCTTTTGTTAATATGTCCGAGTAACTTTCAGACAATTCTTTAACGATTGGTCGTATAACAATTTCTTTTGCGTGAATTAATCAATGCCTTTATTATTTAAAATAATAGTTTCAACTTTACATGTCATTGGCATTTGCTGTAGAAAAAATCCGACGTGCATACAAATTAGATGACTATTGAAAAACTGAGAAGCAGTCGGAAATTATGCAAACAAAACAAAGGCTATTCTTTTATGCAAAAATCATAATCTAATTCTCGAAATTTATTATGGCTCAAACCATACACGCGTTGGAGTTTAAATTATTTAAATCAAGTGATATTATCTATTATAGATGGTGGTACATCAAATACATTTACTTAAACTATATATCAGAAAAAGGATTCTTACAATGCCAAGAGAAATGATTCTTGCAAGTTCAATAGAGATATAAAAAAATTGGGTTTATGTTAAACCATTATCATTCGAAAATTTTAGAGTCTCTCATATTGAACAAACTGTTTCAGAGCCAAACTACTTTTATGTCCCAACAAACAAAGGGACATCACTCTCATGGTAGTTGTTGAAGCAAGTTGGACAGAGTAACGAGTCTGTCTCAAGAGTCGTTCAATCCAAATCGGCCCCTATATAAAAGTAAGCCCAAACTAATTTCATTATTTTCTCAAAACACTTTTGCATTTGTCTTATAAAGTTTCATAGTAAGCTTTAAGTAATTTATCTTCACCCCGGAATGGCCCGGTGTAGTCTCATGCCAGGTATTCAAATAAGCTTTGGAGACATTGGCTATTTCAGTGTTTTGGAGGAAATGCCAATACAATCACTCAATCATACATTGTCTTAAGAGTTATCCAGAGAGTTATCTAGTATTTTTTCAGCGATTCGTATATAAAGTCGATATATTGTCTATAATGCAATATGTTATGACAAGGTTCATAACCTTTGCTTCTGTAAATCCATAATGCCCCCGCCCCTCGCCCCCTATGAATTTTGTTATTTCCCAGTTTAGTCTTTTCCGTGGCAATACGAAAATATCTGTTGATAACATATTACGCAACCCGTAAATGCTTCATTATAACTTCATTATAATATCAACATGTGTTATATACTTATGAAAGAAATCATGGATTTAGATAAAACAATCAAGCGTTTGAATCAGTTTTATTCAATATACACTTAGTATATAACTAAACAAAAACAATATGTATATTTTACATTTAAATCAACCAGCCAGTTATTTTTTATTAAGACTCGTCGCTAATGAAAAACATGTGACTGTATGAAATATTAAGTTTATGGTATCACTGTACTGTACTACTGCAAACTAAGCACCAATTTATAACGATAGTGACTCTAAAGAAATCGGAAGCACACCTTTAAGTACTATGCAAATGAGGCACGTTAACCGTGTTAAAAAAAGAGCTAGGAACGGTTCCCAAGTACTAAGAGGGTGTCAAGGTTAACTTGGAAAGAGATAATGTGACACATTTACCGTGTGAATAGAAAATGGGGTATGGTTATCGGGTAGAAAGACAATATTTCAAAGAAATAATCAGTCACGGTTACCATGTAAAGAGATAAAAGGTCACGATGGTCGGTTGATGATTATAAGGGTCATGGGTACCGTGTAAAACGATATCAGGCCACGGTTGTCGTATAAAGAGTTAATTGGCCACCTTTACCGTGTAAAGAGACGATAGGTCACGGTTGTCGTGAAAATAGTTGATGGGCCAAGGTAATCATGTAAAGAGATAATAAGTCAAGGTTGAGTAATTTAGTGAGATCAGATGAATACAGTGTTAAGATATAATGGGACATGGTTACCGAGGGGCATGTGTAAAGGAAAATTGAGACAGGGTTACCATTTGGAAAAAAAAGAACCAAATCGTCCAACACTTTGATAATCAAAGTGAAATTATCATAATAATAGTCAAATAAAAGCAATGTCTGCATGACTTATTATATTTGTCTGTTCTATAGACAAGCAAATTGTCAAACAAAGAACTATGCATCAATACATACAGTTCATAATATAAGAATAAATCAACTTTAATTTGTCATTCATATATTTAAGCATAAAATTAGCAAAATTGTCTTTTTAAAGAAATAAATAAATAATAAATAAAATAAATAACAAAATTTTGATGTATAACTCATATTTCACTCGATGTCGTCTGCTAATGTGATTTAGTGTTTCCGTTTTAATAAACTCATCTTTTTGTAAGAAACGTTTTCCTATAGTGTCATTCATCCTAGAATCTTAACCCTTCGCATGCTGAGAAAATTGTTGTCAGCTAAAATGTCGTCTGCTTGACGTTGTTGTTGTTGTTGATTTTTTTTTAAATTTTATCCGAATAAACATAAATGATGTCATTCCCGACCAGGCGCTGAGGTACACGGTCTGGTACCATGTTTACAAAGGCTAATGTGGTCCATTCCGGCAAGCTAAAAGTCAATTCTCTAACGGTACGAAAGGTTTTGTTGTGAGTGACGGGCTGTAGAAAAGGCGGGCTGATCTCAATATCTGAGACTGCTTCCATAGAGGCAGACGATAAAATTCTAGTCTGCTTATCTTTAAATGCTCCTGGAATTGTTTCTCGGATAAATGATTCTGAAAATTCAACAACATCAATCTGAATATGAATATAAAGTGAATATAAATAATATAAATGAGATATTTAAAGATTTTCGGTGTCATAACCGTGCATTTTCTGCTCTTATACTAGTTTTATGTTATGCATATGTAATATTTTTTCGTACCTATCTTTTTTTCTTTGTCAAATGTTAAAATGATACTAAAAGCTCCTTGTGTTGTACTGAAATTCTGAAAAAAGTATCAATATTGTTTTTTTACCACCCTACGCGAGGCTGACCACGAAATATCAAGACAAATGGAGAGTCTATTATAAAGCCAAATTTTATATGTAATTACCGGAGCAGATTTATGATGTAGCTTATATGTTACTTATATGACGTTTTCTAAACACAAAAGATGGATTACTCATCAATGATAATTGAATTGTTTTTTATTTACAAATATATTAAATGCAATCAATTGTAATTCTAACAATTCCATGAATTTTGTTTATTCATTTAATTCAATTAGTTATTAAATTAGATTATTTAGTTTTGAATGCTTGTATTCCTACTGATAGATGCATTGCTGCTTGTTCTTTGAAAATAATGTTAAATATACTTACATTGTATTATTTATATATAAATGATAAAGAAGAAATAAAATCAAACAAGACCTGTTTGTTAGTGTCGTCCACATCATGAGGCAAGTCTGCTCTCAACAATGTTATGTATGGATATTTTGGTTGCTTTAGAAAGCTGGTATCAACAACCTTGAAAAGTAAAAAATATGCAAAACACTTTTTGTTAAAATCAACAGTTTTTGTTCAATCATTACATTGTTAAATTGTTAAATCACATTTTAAAATCATCACAATGTTACATTGTTAAACCTTCACTTTGTTGAATAATCACATTGTAAAATCATTACTTTGTTACATTGTTAAATTGTCACTTTGTTAAATAATCACATTGTTAAATTATCATTTCTACAAGAAATTCATCAATATTTTCAATAATTCATTTCCTAATTTTGAATTAATTATAGATTTAAACGTACTGTAATTCCAAAAGTTAAACAAACACAAAATCAAAGTAAATTAAAGTAAATTTATCAAACACTGTACAATTATTAAACGAATTTAGCAACAATCTCACAAAACATTGACAATGGGTCTTAGCATGCTCAATATAATTTCAAATAAATATGATATAAGCATGATTTTTTGGATAGTCATGTGTCTTGTCAAACTGTAAAAATTGAAACAGTCCAACTTTTATTCATGATTAAAGGGCGCGCTTATATGTTGTAATGTTCTCATTAATGAAATTTCTAAAATTCTAAAATAAAGATTTGTCGTTTTGGGCTTTCTTTTGGGATTCTCATTTTCTCTATTTTACTTACACTTTGATGCACGTCTATTTTAGCATTTTCTTGACGAACTCGTTTCCTAAAAACTTCATATGCATGGCGACCCTGTTAAATAGAAAATATAGAAAGTTCAATAATGAAATTGCCCTTGAATATGTTAAACTTAATCTCTCTCGCAGGTGTGCCTGCGAAATACACATTGTCAGCTTCCTGCATGTATTAGATAGAAAGTAAAAATATGATACGACTAGGAAAATACATATTAAAAAAGTGTATATTTCAAGACAGATTTAAACATCACATAGAGGGAGGTGCAAAACAGATTTCAAAGTCATATTGGTATATGTATATTTCAAGACTTCAAAGTTCCATAGCGAGAAAGAAAAAAAATACACTTACGAACGGGGAAGACCTATCGTAAAGTTACGACAGATTTTGCACTTAAGATTTTCTTAAGATTTTTTGTGAAAAGGAGATTTATCGTAAGATTTCTCTTACGACAAAAAATTGTCGTAAGATTTTTTGTGAAAATGTCTGCTGGCTTGAAACATATAAATTTTCTGTGATATAGGCCTACAAGTATCTTTCACCACACATATAAAGAATTGCATATAGACAATATTAATCATAGTTTAATTATAATATATCAGACAATTGTTTGCTTCTTCTGGATTTTTTCTCGTTAATTCAAAACAAAAATTTTTACCGCGTATCCAAGAGCATTCCATGTGGTGAAGTGTTTGGTAAAAGAGAACGGCTCAGTTCTTTGGGAAACAAGCCAGACTGAGACCAGATCAAATTGTCTGCCTGCTGGGTCCTGCTTTATGTAGTCCTGTAATTCAAGACAAAGTTAATGTAAACACATCTTAAAAATATCATATTTATTTGTATATTTCATGAAATACAATAGTAATGTACAGGATAGAATTCAAATAGACTTGTTCATTTATTTTTTAAATCATTTAAGAAAGAAAATGCTGATTGTTTTGAAAATACTTAATAAAAGATAAATGAATAATTTTATATTATTGAAATAAACTAAAAAACTAAAATACCTTTGCCAAAGTAAACAACTTCTTTCTCGTACCACTGTCAACTCTTTCACCACACCATACAAATACCTATACCAAAGAAATAATTGAAAAATAATTGAAATCAAGATATGAACGTTATGAGCAATCTTTTAAATGTAGCATCATATTTTAAAGGGGAAAAACATGTTTAACTGACTGATTAACTACTCGTTAGATCACTTAACAACATAAATGCCTCTAATGACAAATATCTACAGGACGTTAACATGATATAAAAGTGCATTCTACTTTACTGGTTATAGAAAATATTCATAGAACCCTGAATAACAAGAAATATATTCAAACCTTATTACGTAATGGCAAACAATTTACAAACCTGGCTATATGTGTCCAGAATATAAACACCTTCTTCTGATAAATCCTGTAAGACAAATATATTCTCTCCATTAATTATATTACTTTAACTTGTTAAGGCCTAGAAATGCTTTTATTTCGTTTCTCAAAAGCATTTATTTTTTATGTCCCCTTAAAGTTCCTAAAAAGGTACTTTTTCAAAAAGGTACTCATTTACTAATTACCTAATCCATTTTTTTTTTGCTTCTGTTGCTTTTTGGCAATAAGTACAGTTATAGTGATTAAGTATTTTGAATGGAAGTCAAAATACTACATGTATTTTGTTTACGTTTGGCTACTTTTAAGACAAATATTTTCACTTTCAGCACTACTATCTTCAGATGGTAAGCATCTAACATGCTCTAAATCATTTGAACGTTATCTGAAAAGAGGGAAAATTCTATTCGTTTCTGAGAAATAAAATGCATTTATACATAATACTTTTTATGGTTAAGACAGAATAACATATACAACTATGTAAGAAAACAAACAGTTAATCAAACATATAACGTACAACATTTTGAAATATGAATGAATAGATAAACATTAACATCATAAATCCCAACTATTTACATTCTACAACTATGTCGGCTGTCCAAAATATCAACATATCCCAAAAAAAGTGTATGAATACAAGTAAGTACCTACCTCTTGTTGGAAATCATCAATAAGTTCCGCTACGTGAGATTTATGGTTATAATGTAACAAACATGCAGGACGTTTGCTTAGACTCTGAAAAATGAAAATAATGGATAAACAGATAATTTATGTGATAATACCTTCTTTAAAACTTAAAGAAACTTCAACAATCTTGCATTATTATAGTATTCTAATTAAAAATGGATAGAAATTAAATCCTATAAGATCAATTTACCAGACAAACTTTACTCGAGTTATTCTTTCGCCATATTTTCCTTCAGCCCTAAAATCGTTACCATGACATGACAATACAATTGATCTTGTGGTATGTGACCATATGGAAATGTAAGACTTGAATTAATTGAACTTGTGGTCGTTGGTTTATACAGAATTTCTTTTAGTTCGATTGTGTAGCAAGTCATAGCTCCGTGGACCAACCAGTACTGAGCAATGAGTGTAAAGTTTCTTGCCCAAGGAAACAACGACTTGCCCCTGACGGGATTTGAACCCATGCGGATAGCGATCATTTGATTACTAGTCCGACGCGTTAAACACTCAGCCATGTCGCCACTGAGACTTGTGGTCTTTTCAATGGCAACGTTAGATTATATGTACATGTTGGTGTACATACCTTCTCTTTATATTCTTCCTCGTAAGCCGACCTGGCACCAAGCAGAGTCACGAACACAGCTGGTTCCTTACCTTCCATCGCTATCTCATACGAAAACATCCTGTATAATAGAATATAAAATAATATAAAGTATTTTAAGACACTATGATTAAATATGAGAGGTTATTTAAATATGAGAGGTGATTAAGAAGCATTGGAAGAGAAATAAGTTACAGTTTGTGAAGCAAAATAACCATCGGTATGTTTTCATAATTTGAATTTTAGCACAATGCTAGTGAAGTTTCCAATTTTTTACATGTTTCTGTAAACAAGAGAGTTAATCTAAACTAATTGCAATTTCACTAAAATCTCAAAAGAACCAATAAACGTTATCAACTTTTTACTTTTCAGCAAGTTTCAATGAAAAACATTAAATACCGGTAAATTAATATCACTTCAAAATCGGTATTTACGTTGTTCTCCATCTACAATGACCAGAATAAGCAGCAAATACCCTTATACTTCCAAAATCATTTCAAATCAATAAAATCAATTTTAAAGATGATTTCCAATCTTTGAAATCGTTAATAATTGATAATAGTTATTTATACAAGATGTAAATATAAAAGAAATGTTTTGTTACCTTGACGAACACAGTATACTTAGTAAATGTTTAGCTGCCTCCCTCTCCGTACTTCCTGAGTTCTGAAATAAATAATTTACATCATTAATAAACAATTTACATCATTATTAAACAAATTACATCATTATTTATAAATAACTTTTTAAACATTCTCCAAGGCATGTCGCCTTTTAAACATTAAAATACAAAAAAAATACAGAAAACTAATACAAATATACAAACAACATATGTGTACATGAAAGTATAACAGTAACACTTAAAAACCATAAATGGGGCATTGAAATGAAGAAGATCAATGTAAAAATAAATATCTGCATGAAGAAATATAGAACATGCACAGAAATAAAAATTTCTTGAAATACACATGGTATTAAAACCTTAAATTTATTCATGTGCAACTTATCATTTAAAGATCAAAGAGTCGTTTAGTAGCTACAGTAGATAATATCTTTTGGTATATCAATTGAAGCAAATTGTACTGAACTGCCATAAAGATATAATTCGTCATTTACATAAACAATGCATTTAAACAATTTTCTAATATTAGAATAACGCATTACCTTGCCATACCAAAGATAAGCACCACTGTCTGTTAATAATACAAAAGAGGAAGAACTGTTCAAGTTTTCCCAAGCCGGTGCAACCTGGTGAAACAATACAAAAAAAAATGTGAGAGATATTTTTTCAGAAAGAATGCCCAGCTTGGCAAAATTAAAAATGTCCATCGGCGTTAGTGGAAAAAGTAAGCTTTTGTTCAGACACCCTAGCACCGCCTTACTTCATGTAAACGGAGCTTATTCTATTAACTATTTTATTTACAGCATTTAACAAAAGTAATCTATTTTGACAATATTGCCAAACAGCTTTTTGAATAATCAAGTTATATTTTTTTAAGTATTTGGTAGTTTTGTTTAAGCAAACTAAATGATATGAAATTGAAATGTACCTGTTGTATTCTGGTAGCACGTTCTCCGAAATCTCTCACACAGAACAATTTGATGTTTCCTTCTCGGCTAGCATTAGTTTCATCACCGTCATACTACATTGATACAAAACATTATTTATTTATTTTTTATTATTATTATTAATTTTTTGCATTTAAGTAAGTACAGTATTATATTAATTTGCAAAAATGTTTTGTTGTTTTTATTGTGTTCCTTTTTGCCCAATGGGATAAAGTAAACTAAATTCCATATCAAAATATTTAATTAATTTAATTGCATGATTCAGACACCCTGGATATGTGATGTGTATTTATTTAACACATCTACTTTTTCTTATTCTGGGACACGGCGCATGAAATTTGTCAGTATTAAACTTTTAAAACCCCTTCACAGATATAAAAATTTCTTTTGAAACAATAAATACAAGTGACGAATTCCAAAATTACACATGAAAGATGTGTATGCTTAATATAACAAGTTACCAATCTTCAATTTGAGGGACTTCTGATCATCCTACCTCCTTCTTTGAAATAAGTCCATTTTGAAATTTGAAAATGATAATTTTAGAAATGGTAATTTTAGAAATTATAAATCTAGAAATTATATTTATTAGCATACTTCATATCAATAATTTTTTTGTCATGGTTCTGCAATTTCTTATTATTTCCTATTGGAAATTTTAAATCAAAGAACTGTTTGTATTGGGAGAAAAACTTACTACAATCATCCAGTCTTGAAGTGCCGTCAAGAAATGTTGGGGTTCTTTATGGTCAAGTACACGAATCTGAATAATAATGCAATTGTTTAGTTCATAAGTAGGTCTATATTCATTGTCGATATGTCGCGAAACTTTCATAAATTATTGGCACAAATAACTGTTTACAAAACATACTCTGAAACTCTGAAACCATATCATATTTTTCTTTCTACCTACTTTTTCAAATATTTTGTCCTGACTACACCGTGCACATTTCTATATTCAAGATTTAAAAACAGTTATATGTTATCTATAGAACAATAAAGATTTAACATTCCTACATGGCCATGCCATTCATGCCTCCATTAATTAATCATTATTGTTATTATCATTATCATTATTATTATTCAATCCATTAATCTTAATCAAGCATGTCCTCAAATCGTTCTAAAACACATATTATCCATTGTCAGAATAATTTATCTTACCTTCTTCTTGAAGGATTTTTAAATCTAACCTTTGACCTTACTTCGTTGCACTGTATTCCAACCTACCTGAACACCTCTATTTTCTAGTTGATTATTCTTCTCCTCGGCTAACTCTACAAGTCTTTCTTCATCCTCTTGCGTACTTTTGCTGCCCTACAATTCACGAAAAAATACTTTCTATATATATCTGTATAGTTTAACTTAATATGTACATGTAAAAAAATCTGGATAAGTTGATCCCTCGTAAGCATTAATCACAATAAAATTACATGAAAATTGCAGACTCGGTTTGACTGAGTCTGTACATGAGGGATAATTAAAAGTCGCAACATCCCTCACGCTCTCGGGCTTGAGCGGTACTCAATTTTCAACAATTACAAGTGATGGAATCAATGATCCCGAAGAACCAGAAAAATAAAACAACACGGAAGTGAAGTACGGGGCAACATTTTACAGCTGACACACGGCACTTGACACCTACTGTTGTGAAGTATAAAACTTTGGAAAATGGGTGATTCTTCGGAAGCACTATACACAACAAAATAACATGAAAATTGCAAACTAAAATTTTTTAAACAGTTTAATTGCAATTAAATTAGTGATGAAGCTACAACTTATTATTAATATTCAGCAAATCTTTTAGCCTTACGACATATGACAACAAAAACTATCATAAACAAGTAATGAAAAAATATAATCAGTGCACATATGGTTGTTGTTGTTGCATTTTCCTTAAACAATAACTAAATCATACAGTTGTCGTATCAATATTCAAACTTACAATCCATAGGTATATGATGAACTGGTAGTGAGACATTTCTATAGTTGTATGGAGAAGAATGAAGCATTTACTGTTGGTAAACAATCCCATGTGCTCCCACTCTTCTAACTTATTGTTGTTCAACACCCATACCTAAAATACAATAGAAGAAAGAGATAATTAATAAAAAAAACTTTTCTATGAAATTTATAATTTTTATGATTTATAATTAGTTACGTTTGTAGTTTAATATACAGGTACATGTATAATATGATGGTTTGCATGTAGAACTTTGCTATGAACATGTACGCTTTAATTAAAACATTCGTTTTAGAAATGAATAAAATTTCTGACTTATCAATTATTGTTTTACCTGAGTATTTTTTCTCCATTCTCCAAGGGTGTCTTCTGACCAGCACTCTTTTGTTGTGGCAATTGTTCTTCTATCAGTGCGAGAAAACAAAGCACGTCCTGAAGTTTAAAAAATACTGGTATATATTTTATTCCATAAGGACTAAGGAATGGCCAATATGCCCAACACATAGCAAAACTTAAACATTTATTCATGTGGAATAATGAATGCTTTGTATAACAACAAAATGAAAACAAACAACAAAACTGTATAGATTTGCTCAATATCTCTTTGGTAGTATAGTTTTCTGATCTGTTGGAATAATTGAAACCAATTACTTCTAATGTTCAAGATATAACACTGCCTAGCCGGTGCAGGCGGGGTATGAGAGGCGTTGTACCTTACATTATATCTCGAGAACAGACCGCTTTTTATTGTTTTGACTTTCCTTTCCTTATTTGATCATAATAACCAAGTTATATGCCTAACATTTAACATGATTTAAACAAAACTATTTTCTCGAACAAAACAAAACCAAAACACACAAACACTTGATATACATGTATACCTATAAACGGCATGTAACACAACTGAATAAAGCACAAGAACATATTCATTCAACATGTAACACAAGTGAATCGAGAGAAAAAAGATTCCCTATTGGCCAAGAAAACATGATTTAAACAAAGAAGCAGAAGGGAAGTATTCTTAAACCAAACATATAATAAAATTCAAACAAAAGTGTTTTTAACACAACATATAACAAAATTTAAAGCTTAACCATTTCCCAAGCAACGAAATTTTAACAGTTATCTATTTTTCCCAACATAATAAATTTAAATAATTGAACCCATGTTATTGCCTGACCCAACATACAACACAGTTTTAGCGAATGGATACAAAATAAATTACCTATACTACCAACGTATAAAAACATTATTTTTTTGAAATAAGGCACATTGAGTTACCTATTTGTCAAATCTACAAGACGGCGATTTGGAAAATAAAAACACGTGACACCTATAAACAAACTGTTGATATGTAACCTTAAAAATAATAAGTCAATAAAACATACGTTTTAGAATTCGCTATTAAAAACAAACCTTTCATTGTTTACTCTCAATTACATTAGCAATGTTTAGGAATAAGCATGCAAATGGTATTTCGTATATTTTCATATATTTTTTATACAAAATGTCATTTGTTTATACTGTAAACGGGGTCACAAATGTTCTAAATATCTGTCAAGACTTACTAATAAAGCACAAAGTGTTTTTGTTGTTGTTTTTCTGTGTCGGATACAAACGAACTCATACCCGCCAGTTAAGATAAGATTGGCGAAAGAAGTATCATCTATTAATATCACAGACGAGCTAAAGGATTCTCCTCAGGCAACTGCTGGTCTTTTGATCACGGAACTACTTTTAAATTAACAAAGTAACACTAAACCAAATGTACTAACAGGCTAAACTTTTGCCATTTTGGACGAAATAGAGCACAATATTTTACCTATATTCCCTGCGCTATAACGTTTGGTTAATGACATTTCTTTTGAAATTCTTTCTTTCCAGTCACAGAAGCACCGTTTAAATTCTGGAGGTTCGTGGTTCTCACGTATTCTACATATTGAACTTTCTGTCGGATAATTATGGTGTGTTGAAAATAACTGCAAGTAAATATATTGCAAAATTACACGTGAATGTCTACAATCTAGAATAATTAACATTGTTTCTTGTGAAAAAATATAAATTAGTGATAAAGGATACAATGTTAGAAACAACAACATGTAACATACATGTAAGCTATTTAAAGCTATTATATCATTTAAACTAAAAAGATATGATATTTAGCATTTGTACTAACTATTCTGCCATTATTATGGTATCTATTTTGTTTGCATTAAATAAGTTTGCGGTTACTTTTTTCTTTATTACGATGTCAGATTTACTACATGTTGTACTTTATTAAGTGTTCATGCATTTAAAAAAAATATAAAATCTTATACCGAAAATTAGAGAATCAGCTAGAGGGCTCTTTTGCAGCAACAGAGGAAATAAAACCTCAACGAACAGCAACACTAAACCTATTTCAGAAGATATTTTGATGTTCATTTGTCATTCAAAAGTCATATATGAGCCGCGTCACGACGAAACCAACATAGTGCGTTTGCGACCAGCATGGATCCAGACCAGCCTGCGTATCCGCGCAGTCTGATCAGGATCCATTCTGTTCGCTTACAAACCCAATTACAGGTAGAGATACTGATAGCGAACAACATGGAACCTGATCAGACTGCGCGGATGTGCAGGCTGGTCTGGACCCATGCTGGTCGCAAACGCACTATGTTGGTTTTGTCGTGACGCGGCTCATATATATATTTATATTTGTCATAGAGATGTATTACCTTAGCTCTCTTTAAGGCGTCGTGAACATCCTCTTCCTTTGCTTCAGAACCTACCCATATAAACAATGTTTTATCCTTGCCTCTGTCCAGCAGATAGCTGTCACGTTTTGTTAGATAGCATTGATTCAGGGGGCGCTTTGACGCCGCCGGCATGTCATACATAACTCGATCACCGGAAATTCTGAAAATATTAAAATGTTTATCATTATATTCATTATATCAATGACATTTTAAAATATTTTTACATATCAATGTCCATCATTACTAATTGCACTTTTTCTTAGAGAGGAAAAGCATTTCTTTCTAATATTTTATCATTAGATATTTATTATTTCAATTTGTTTAATTCTGCATACAAAAATGTAATGGAACGTGAATTTACATATTTGTTTACACGGATTGAAAGAAAAATGTTACATTATATGCAATATTTCTCATGATTGCCCAATGATAAACACTGGTAAAATTGCTCTTATGGAAATTAAAACAACAAAATACACAACTGTTCAATCTTCGATTTACAAGAATTTTCTATGCTAAGATAGCACCCTCCGTCTATATTAGCCTACATTTTACAAACAGACTTCTAAGCATTTGTAATGCAGGTCCACAGAAAATCATTTAAAAGATTTTGAAAAATAAATGTAAACAGGTTTTTTATATTCCATTTTCACAATTATCCTGTTAAAATGTTGAATTCTTTTTAAGGCGGTGCTGTGGGGGGCGTGACCGGTAGCTTGCATTTATCACTACCGTTTAAAGACAAGCTCAACCAAACCAAGCCTGCAACATTTTCATTATTGTCATTCTGAGCGTTCTTTGCGGAGTTTTCTAGTTTGGTTTGAATATTTCAAGAAGCACACCTGTATAGAACGAGGTTGGGTTCTTCAACATCCGATATGTTTTTCTCCACTTCTGTTTCACGTTTAGCTGGGTTCGGGAAATCTATATCGTCAAACTTTCTCTTGAACGCTTGACATAGACTGTCGTCTGCTTCGTCTTGAAATGAACATGTAAATAAGAAGAGTACATCAGAAGAATACATTAAATCCCCCAAGAATGAAAAAGAGTGAAAAGAACAAATCGTGAATATATTTAAGCCCGACCTGAATCCTTATTCAACTTTTATTGCCATCTTAAATCGTAAGAATGACACTTAATATAATACTACATGTATATAATTGTACATTTTAGAAAGCAAAACAATTTGTTTCAAATGTGCAAATTGCTTAAATAAATCAAAAGTTTATATTGCTAATATAAACGTCCACATATCTGTTAATATTAAGTTATATATATACTGATATCGAAAGTGATTGCTGCATTTTAATATTACATGAATATATCTACCTATGATCACAACGTGACATCTTGACCGCCTTTGAGTTAACTGAAGTTTTCTGGCAATACGTATTGCCTGTAAACAGACAAATCAAGACCATCATGTATCATACAAAACTGTGTAAATACAGAAAATGATGACCAACAAATGGTAATATCCCAACACATTTAAACAGTGCTTAATTAAAGTCAGATATCTTGACATTTATAGAAGTAATATTCTACCACTAGTACACAAATATAAGTGAATACACCAAAAAATGGACTGAATTTTAGATATTTAACACAAGAGTAATGTTATGTTCATCGGAGGATATGTTTCACAAGTTCGTATAATTATCATTAAGTAATCTTCAAACAGTAATAAAAACTGCAACAATAGATATTCCTTATATTAGATAGTTCAGTAGTTTGAACATAACTATCCACCGGCACGGAATGAATACCATTTATTTTAAGTTTTTAATTGTATGATATGTTTAGCTAAACACTATATAATACCTTATTACGTCGAGTATATTCAGTATTTCTGCCGATCCATACATAAATTCTTGGAAAGTTATCAAGTATAACGAGCGAGTCTGCCGTCAAATAGTCCTTTCTTTGTCGAACCTAAGTTGTCAATAAATAACCATACAATTTAATTACAACATACATATTGTCTTGTCTTTATTTAAATCAATGCTAACAGATTTTGTAATCGCGAACTCACATTCCTTACAAAATAAACTAAAAGCTTTCGTCCTGTTTTATTCATTTTCAGCTACTATATACATTAATAATAACACATTATGTCCTTATTCGTTTCTTTTCAGTAACAATGTACGTCAATGTCGCCAACCTCTGTACCGTGATAACTTACGGCAATAGTTTAAGATTATTCCTTTTCGTAACAATGACACCTTCTACCCTCGTTGACCTTTGTTAGAACGCTCAAAGATTATGACCTCGCGCACTTCTGTGCAGACAGTAACAAAATACTTACACATTCTGCTCTTGCGTATTTCCGCCCAGTTACAATATACATCCTCTTCTCATAGCAAGATGCTTTAGACGGGCTTGTTTTATGTCTGCCTTCGATATATCTGTTAAAACAAGAAGAAGCTTTAATACCGTGGTAAACTGGCAAAAAGCTCATTAATTTACATGTCCGGTAAATGCCGGAAAAGGATGGCAACTAGCAAGTTAATTTACCGGAAGTCAATGTGATAACAAACAGCTTACGACCGAAAAAGGACAAAACAGTGATACCAGTACAAATTTTATCAGACAATGCTTTGTTGGGTTTTTTTTTAAATAATTGATTTACATTTTTTATATACTTATAAGTGATATCATATAATAAAACGGCAATAGTTTAAGACTAATTGTTATATTATCGAAATGATGAAATCGTAACATTTGATAAATGTATAAAATAATTCAAGACGACAAAACGATGTGTATACTTTATTATTTGAAAGTTATTTGTTTTATTCATTCTAAAAATATGTACATACATAACACCGTCAGGGAAAAGTCTGAAGAATGCAGTAGATTCGTTGCCTTGTACCTGTAAATAAGGAAACCTATTATAGATAATCAAAATAAAATTAAAACCTAGTGATAAATACACCATTTTTTTACTTAAATTATCTAACATTACATGCAAACCTCAGCATCATACTTATCAACATTTGTTTACATACGTGCACATTAGTTTTACTTATTCAAATCATGTCATATATAGAAAGGCGACACAAATTCTTATAATCAACGCCAACCCTGCGCTTGCTTACAGGTTAAAGAAAATGTGATTTAGATTCACATATGATTTCTACAAAAACAAAACTTTTTCAAACATATGTTGTAAGTTTGTATACCTCTCTTGAACAAATATGAGCTGCTCCAACAATCTTGTCCAACTTTTCAGCCTTGTCCATTGCAAATTTTGCATTTCTCTACAAAAGAATAAATACACTAATTGATATTAAATACCAATTTTAACTCTAATAGTCTTTGTGCCTTTTTTTTATTTTGTTGTAGTTTTTATTGATAAAATGTGTAAAATAATACAGAAAACTATCATTCTTCCCATCATTTAAGAAGTGAAATTGTATCATTGTTTAGCACAATATACTTTTGTAATGTTGACTATTTTTAGAGAAGGTATACTTAACCAATTTTAGTTTAAAATATCTAAAACACATCTGATAATTTCATGTGCTAACAGTTTGTCAAGGAAATTAACTTATAAATATAACCATACCTTGCTTTATTACTTGTATTTTGTTAACTATTGATAGAAGTTTCGGAGGTGAGGGTTATATAATCGTATTTATACACAAAAACCCTCTCTTACTAATATCACGATTATATAAAAATAGTAACATGTTTATAAATATATGAAATTGTATTTTTTTACGTTGTTAAAGGACTATTTACTTGTGTAGAAGAAATACACCCACTTACTTCAGTGCAACATCCACCAGTCCAACAATGTAATGACTTTTCACCATCTCTGTTTATCTAAAATGTTTATACAAAAAAATTACAGGAATATCAGCTTATACATGTATATCAAGCAGTCAAATATGTACAAGCTTTTGTACATATCATCAGTCCAGTTGTCGTTCGTGAACAAGTTTTCTCAAAACACATGATGTCGCTTGTATAATAATCATCTGTCCAATTGTCGTAAGTGTACAAATCCTTCAAATAATCTGTCCAGATGTCGTTCGTGTACAAATCCTTCAGGCCACCTGTCCATATGTCGATTGTGTACAAGTCCTTCAAACCATCTGTGCATATATCGTTCGTGGACAAGTCCCTCCAACCATCTGTCCAGATGTCGTGAGTAAAAAAATGCTTGTTCAGTAGTCGTGCGTGCAGAGGTGCATGCACATATCACCTGTCTAGTTGTTGTTGGTACAGTACATAATTTGGTGAAATGATGAAATAATTTATTCAAAATTTGCGCATTCTGATAAAAAAAACCCAAGCACTGTATTACTATAACAGTTAACAATAATTGATTCTTAAGTGGAATTTAAACATTTGTTGATTCTTTATCGTACACTGTGTACAAATGAATCATTTCATTGTAAATGTAAATTACTGTCATTTGTGTGTGCAATGTGCGCGTAGAACTAAAAAAGTATATAACAATTATAATCTTTACATACATACTACAATACCCTTTTATTAATTCTTACTTATCTGGCGAGAAAAAGAACAAGAGCTGTCAGAAGGACAGCGCGCTCGACTTTTTTAGTGCTTGCCTATAAAACAAAACTTTGACAGTTAAGGGCACACAAGACTTTAACTAGGAATTTCTAAGTACAAATCAAGAAACATTTTCACAGAGTTATCTTCTCTTGCTTACAGATAGGTCTCATGATGGCACATAAGAACTCCAACTTCCAAAGTAATATCTCAAATGGTTAAGTCAACAAGTGGACAAGAATGAAAATCTTAACTGAGTTTCTAAGTCAAAAAGGGCCATAATTCAAATAAAATCCTTAACAGAATTACCTTCTCCTGCCCATGTTTTGGGACCATGATGGTAAACAAGTATTCCAACTTTCAAATTAATATCTCAAACAGTTCAGTCAAAAAGTGGACTGGTACTAAAAACTTAACCAAGATTCTAAGTCGATAAAAGGCCTTAATTTTTAAAACAAATCCTTGACAGAGTTACCTTCTCTTGCGTACAGATGGGGGTAATGATGTGAAATAGCATTAAAAGTTTCAAAGCAATATCTCAAAGGGTTAAGGCAATAAGTGGATTTTACCCATATTCAATGTATTTTCTAAGTCAAAAAGGGGCATAATTCTGTCAAAAACCTTGACAGAGTTATGTCCTCTTGTCTGTTGATGAAGATCGTGATGGTAAACAAGTATGGTCAGTTTCAAAGCAATACCTCCAATGGTTTTGAAATAAAGTGAGGTGGTACAAAAAACTTAACCAAGCTCAATACACTTTCTAAGTCAAAAAAGGGCCATAATTCTGTCAAAAACCTTGACAGAGTTATGTACTCTTGTCTGTAGATGGAGGTTATGATGGTGAACAAGTATGGTAAGTTTCAAAGCCATACTTGTAATACTTCTGAAATAAAGTGGGGTGGTACGAAAAACTTAACCAAGGTGTGACGCCAACGCTAACGCCGACGCCGACGCCGACGCCGACACCGGGGCGAGTAGGATAGCTCCCCTTTTCATAGAAAAGTCGAGCTAAAAACGAAGCCGACAGTTAATACTAACGTTAAGAACGATGTAGGCATTGCCTTCATGAAAGAAACCGTACGATGTATCTTCAACACAGTGCAAGCTTGTCCCCTGAAATAAAATTAAAAAAAAAAAAAAAACTTATTTTGTATATATGAAACCTTTAATTAAGTGTTAAAATGAAGTTCATTTTATTTATTCACGTAAGTATCGGTTTGAAAGGCATCTGTATACATTACGAATTTCCAAGATCCTTGTATTCAACAAGAAATAAAAACATCACATGGTGTCGCTTAGGTTCAATGTAATATAAACCATATGTATTTCTTTATCATTCATCCCATTAAATCGGTGCTTTTTCCTTTTTTTCTGCATTTTACATTTTACGTGATGAAAAGAATTCTACAGTCATTACGTTCTTTCATCGCAAACTTGCATTAAACTTCGTCCCAGAAATGTAAAGACAGCCAAAGATTCCCTATAAAAAGCTTTTATAAATGCCTTTTATAAATTCGTTTAATGATACGAAGTTATCATAAATTGTTGAGTGCAATACTGAATTCTATTGGACGAGTACTTATATAGCTGTCAAAACTGTATTGGACGAGGCGCTTGTCAAGTATAAAATAGATTTTGCTGCTATGAACGAGTCCAATAAAATCAGTACTGTATTCATCAATTTATAATGCTATCTTTATTTTACACCACCAAATATTTAACATTTCGCGAGAGATTTGTTACTTCGAGCATAATAAGGATTCGATATGAATTGTTTGGACTCTATAGATGAAAACAAGGCTATACATGCACATAGTCCAGTCATGATTTGATATGGACTTGTTGGACTCGGAAAATGAAAATGTGGCAAAATTAAGTAGATTTGATTGCATGTAGAATTTTAGACTGGAGAAATGGATGGAGGATAATGATTTCTATTGGAACATCACGTGGTGTAAACGCTGGAAATTCACTGATTGCAGTACTGTATCAGGTATAAAAAATAAAAGCCTAAGAGAAAGAAAAACCCATGAAAGATCCTTTATTCTGTATATACTGTATAAAATATAAGTGATTTTGTTAACCTGTATCCTCCAAATGTAGAAACCAGTTTTGTCCGGATCCAAGTATTGAAAAGCCGATTCGATCTCGGTAATTGCGTTGGGAGTCGGACTTCGTGCCCCATCTCTCGACATCTTCACTTCTGTAATTGTACTCATAGTCTCGGCAACAGAGCTAAATAAATAAATACAATTCTAAATAAAATATATGTATACATTGTATATACATTATCTATAAAGTTGTGCTTTTAAATTAATTTGACGTAAATCAAAGTGTAGTTAATATAGTTTTATATAGTAAAAACATGTACAGATTTACAGACCAATGCGTCTTGAATAAACAAATTTTAAGGTATAGGTCACTGATATCTAATGATTGTTAATCAAGTGTTCACCATTTTGATACAACATTTGCTCTTTAAAGTAAAATTTGGCAATCAAGTGATCTTCATTTTGATACAACATTTGCTCTTTATTCGTACAATTTGTTAATCAAGTGATCACCATTTTGATACAACATTTGCTCTTTATAAATACAAATTGTTAATCAAGTGTTCACTATTTTGATACAATATTTCCTCTTTATAAGTACGATTTGTAAATCAAGTGTTCACTATTTTGATACAACATTTCCTCTTTTAAGTACAATTTGTTAATCAAGTGATCACCATTTTGATACAACACTTGCTCTTTATAAGTACAATTTGTTAATCAAGTGTTCACCATTTTGATACAATATTTCCTCTTTATACGTACAATATAACAGAATCCTCTGACAAAGTTCTTAGGGTATAAAACAATTGTAACATTGCACATGCTTATCTATAGATGTAAAGTACTTAGATAAATCACTGTTAAATATCTCTACAACTAGACAAACTGAGATACCGATGATTCAAATTCATATTTAAATGTAACAAAGATATTATTATCGTATACCATAAATTTGGTTCCGTTCCTAAGTTAAAACAAATATCCGACAATGAGACTAACTTCGTTACACTTTGCTGTAAAGATTTTGATTTCAATCAAATTTTTACTTGACAAGTATTTCTATCAAATGTCTACCTTTTAGCCAAATACAAAATGTAGCAATGAGTCGTCTGTAAGTATAAATATGCATTCTAATCTTTCCCTGTTTGTAACAACTTACAAACATCATCTTGAAATTCATTAAACATGGTGGAGAATGTTTGTCAGCGTTACTAAATGCACTAAAATTCTTTAATTGTTTAATAATAGTAACTTCTTGAAACGGGATTGAATTGTTTCTGTTTAATGTGCATGTGTTTTTGGGATTTTAAAAAATGTTCGAAACACGTACAAATCCTCACTTAAATCTTCCAGCATTTTTTCCCTCAACAAGATATGGAAAAGGGGAAAGAGAATTTCTATTGTCTAATGTACGTGTTTTTCTTCATTTTAGAAAAAGCAAGTCATTAATCGTTTCGTAAACTATTTAACGCCATTCTTGGTTCTAAATGTACCTTATGATTCAGAAGAAACTATAGCAGAGACCCACCTGAACAGATTATATTCAATTTAACAATGCACATATACGAATTGATAAAAACCCACAAAAAATACTTTCTTTTCAAACAATACATACCTTGTAAAACGTCTAGCGGAGATCGGCGTTCTGACATCTCGCTTCTTGAATTGAAAGTCCGCGGTAGAAACAGACAGTGCTGGTGTTACTCTCCCGGTACCTAGCTGGAAAGAGAGACTTTTGCCTGATTTGGGCCGGACGTCCATAACTTTTGTTACGGTTTCCCGAACACTTTGTACACTTGTTGGCCGAACACCTGCAAGACATTGGAAGAATCTAACATGATGTTTAGGATAAACGAGTATTTCTTAACTGATATAAATGATATCTGGTTTAGATCAAACTCTAATTGTTTTGCAAAATGGCAAAAGGCCAGTTGTTTGTTTTAATTGCGCTGTTGGTGAACGTATCGGTCTATTAAGTATAATTTTTGTAGCTCTTTTTTGAATTGAGTTTACTTTATTGATGTATGAGTATGTGTCCTTTCCCCATACTGTACAACAATAGTCAAGCACAGGAAGGATGTACGCGTTGTAATATATCTTTTTTACTGCGTCAGTAAGGTAAAAAATGATATGTTTGAAGAGGGCAATTTTTGTATTTAGTTTTTTGCAAACATAGTCTATTTGATAATGCCAGTTTAATGTATTATCTACATAAATGCCCAATAACTTTTGAACTGTAACATTTTCAAGAGTTGTTTCATTTACTTTCAGTAGGAGAGGATTACATTTCTTCACCTTTTTTTGAAGAACCAATTATCATGCATTTTGTTTTTACTGGGTGCAAAGACATATTATATTATTAAGGAAACACCAGTCATTTATATAATTTAAATCTTTTTGTAAATTATCCTCTAACGATGGAGTCACCAATCAGAAGTGCTCGGTCCCTATTTGGAAAAAATGTCAGATTTTGGAGAATTTTCCTTCATTGTTGAATTAGAAGACCCGATAATGATATCCTGGCTACTGTCTCCTTGTGTTGATTCCCTGTCTAGACATTCTGCCGGTGATACAACTGAAGCTGGTAACGTGGCGCCAGTTTGTAAGATATCGCTTTTCGTTTCCTTATTCGTCAGTATTTGAAGAATAACTTTTTTCATTAATAATTTTTAATGTATCCATGATTCCATTAAAACGCCTTTGAAAAGTATCTTGTGCTTTTTGTACCTCTGATTTTATGTCACTTTGCTTCTTTATCATTTCTTCCAAATTTTTTTTTTTTTTTTTTTTTTTTTTTTTTGGAAAATTTTTTTTTTTTTATTTCCCTCGTCATGGGTATGTTGGGGTCGAGGGCATCCCCCTCCATACCTTACAAAGATTTTATTTATCATATATATATACAAATGTATCAAATATTTGTTGATTAAGTGACAATTATTGTCATTGAGTATTAATCACACCTTCACATTTCCACAATAATATATACAAATGTACATACACAAAATAATATACAAACAAAATCACAAGGGAAATAAAAGAAGAGAAAAAAGGAAAGGTAGCTCATACATTGAACAGATAAAACATTATGTAGTTGTTTCTTATACTCAAACTTTTAACAAAAAGCAATGGCTGTATATTAATAAATTATTTTACATTACTTTAAAAAGAATTAAATGATTTTTTGAACAATTGTCCAATTCATTATGTTATCTTTTGTATTTGTTGCACATGCATCAATAATTGAAGAGGCTAATTTAAAACTACTAATTAATCCATCTATATTTGGTAAAATATTTTTTCTCCTACATAAATAAACATTTTTTTTTATCTCTAGACATAGAATATTGTACTTTGACTGGCTCTTTTTTGTATAACCTAATATAAAAGTTTGACAATCAATCATGATTCCTAACAATTTTAATAATTTCTGTAATCAATATTTTGACAAATGAGCATTCCCAAAATAGGTGTAACAATGTTTCATGTTCTGATTTACAAAAAGTACACATACTTGTAACTGATAAATTCATTTTCAAAAGAAGGTAATTAGTAGCTAATATTCTATGTGTTAGTCTTGTCTGAAACCATTGCAAGTAAGAATCATTGGTAATGTCAAAAACCCAACTATGTATTTTATTCCAGTCAGATTGACTTAATTGAAAGCAAGTGTTCCATTTAGTCTGACAAGTTGAAATATCATCATTTTTTATGTATATATTGTACATGCCTGATGTACCTTTAACACAAAGTAGTATAGGCTTTAAATAACAACATATAATGGGAGAATAGGAAGCAATTTCATAATTATCACATAACTTTAAACTTAATACACTTCTTTATTTCTTGACAGCACTTGTAATTAATTCATAGTAAATGAAGTTTACTTTAATACCTAATCTTGCTTCCAATTCATTCCTTTCAAGGAAAATACCATTCACATTCATAATATCTTTGATAAACCTTATACCTTTTTATTACATGCTTTTCGGTGGTTTATAGAAATATATCAGTGATATAAAACTGGTAATTTCACTGTTTGAAACAGTGAAATTACCACTTTGATAATTTCACTGTTTTGAATTTAAGCCCCTTATACGTTGTTTCAGTGAAATACCAGCGTGCACAGAACTGGGTACCAACTTAATGACGTGACGTCGAAAATGACGTCACGTTGTATTTATCTATAGCGCGCTTTTCATTCAGTTTCTTTGCATATAATAAAAAGAAAATTTGTTTAGTTTAGTGTACGATCGAAATATATTTCACCTTGTGAACACCAAAAGTTCATATTTCACTCGTGGCTGCGCCACTCGTGAAATATACCTTTTGGTGTTCACTCGGTGAAATATATTCCGATCTTACACTGAACTAAACAAATATCCTCTATATCATACCATGTTTTTATAAAAATAGATTTTTTATCCATCAAAATATATTGGTTATAGAACAGAGGCATTTCTAACAACATTTCCATAGAAATAATCGGTGTTTTTTCTACAAATTCTACATAAGCACCTAAAACATCTTTCCAAAATGAATTTTTCAAAATATTATATATATATGCTGTATATAACTTTCCACAATTAAATAGCTTCTTAATATCTAAAAAGTTATCTAAAATAGTGTAACATTTATCACATTCAGATGATACAATTCTTCTTAACCATGAAAGTTTTAAACTTTTCATGTAAGCACATACATCAATCATTTTTAGACCACCATTTACATATTCTTTCACCAATACAGAAGATTTAATCTTTGATGTACCTTGCCAGACAAAATCATAAAACATATTACTTATTTCCTTTAACATCTGAGAATTAGGATTTGGAAGTGACATAAACAAGTTAGTTAATAAAGGAAGTAACAGTGACTTTACAACAGTTATTCTACCAATAGGTGTTAAAGCCCTTCTTTTCCAACACTGGATATATTTTTTGATATTTTCAATTTTTTCAGTATAATTCAAAGTTATCATTTTTTCTAAATCAACGTGAAAGTTGATACCAAGTAATCTAAATGATGTACTACCCCAAATTAATTTCCACCTAGTTTTTATTGATCTAATGCTATATTTTAAAGAGCCAATCCATATTACATGTGTTTTTTCAAAGTTAACTCTTAATCCAGAAATAATAGAAAATTCATGTAAAATATCAAGCGTACAATTTAAAGACTGATCAGATCCATCTAACAATAAAGAGGTATCATCAGCATACTGTGAAATCTTATACTCTGTTCCGTTGATATGTATACCTTTTATATTTTTATTAGTTCTTATTTTAATGGCTAATATTTCGGCACATAAGATAAAAATATAAGGACTGATTGGGTCTCCTTGACGACAACCACGCCCTATTTTAAAAAAGTTGGACAAAAATCCATTCATTTGAACAGCAGTTTCAGTATTTGTATAAAAAAGAGATATCCATTTTCTAAACATTGGGCCAAAATTAAAGAATTCAAAAGTCTTATTTATAAAATCAAAAGAAAGTGTATCAAATGCTTTTTCAAAGTCAATCATTACTAATAGTCCTGGCATTCTTGTTTCTTCTAAATAATTCATTATATCGTAGACTAATCGTATATTCTCTCCCATAAATCTTCCTTTTAGAAATCCTGTTTGGTCTGTACATATCAAACAATTTAAAACTGACTTATGTCTTTTGGCTAATGTGCCTGAGGCTAGTTTTAAAGTATAATTCAATAAAGTTATTGGTCGCCAGTTTTTTAAATACTGTTTTGGTTTGTTTTCTTTCGGGATACAGGTAATTATACCTTGCCTTTGGGTAAGTGATAATTCACCTTTAATAAAAGAATAATTAATACTTCTGACAACAAAATGTCCAATTTGTTTCCAGAAAACTTTAAAAAAAATTGATGTAAAACCATCAGACCCTGGGCTTTTGTCATTTTTCATATTCTTAAGTGTTTCTGAAATTTCCTCAAAGGTAAAGAGACCTTCTAGCGAATCTGCCTGATTTCTGCTCAATTTTGGGACAGTTATGTTGCCTAAGAACTCTTCCATATTAAAATCATCAGGAGAATCAGTTTTTGTATACAGTGTTTCATAAAATATTTCACTTTCTTTTAAAATTTCTGACTGCTCATATATAATGGTACCATTAGTTTTTTCCAAAAAAGGAATGATTTTTGAAGTATAGTTATATTTTTCAAGATTACAAAAGTATTTAGTTGGTGTTTCTCCATTATCAATCCATTCTGCTCTAGAGCGTATGAAATTACCTTTAATTTTGTCTTGTCTTATAGTTTCTAATTCTTTTTGCAAGTTTAATAATCTAACATTTCCAGCATCATTTGAATTTTTTTCTAAATCTGTAATCTGTGATATTAAATCATCCTCTCTAGATTTGGTTTTCTTCTTCTTAAAACTTGCATAAGAAATAGTTTTCCCTCTTATTTCCATCAACAGAGTTTCTAAAAATAACTGGTCATCAATAACAAATAATAGTTCACTATTGCTAATATTTTCAATATTTTCTACATTATATACAGGTAAACAGTATTGTTTTTTTTATTTCTTCAATTTTTTCATTAATAATATTCAAATATTCTTTATCATATAAAAGAGAGTTATTGAATTTCCAGAGACCTTTACCATGAGTAACATTGCTAAGTTCTAAACTAAGTGTTACAATAGAATGATCTGATCTATAGCTAAGACCTACATCACAACTCCTTTCTTCCAAATTTTGGTCAGTGAATGAATGGTGTACAGGTAAATGTTTTTTTTTTAAACTACAATTTCATCGCTCATTTGTGAAAATTTGTTGTTGGAAAATACCACATGGCTGGAAAGTTGTCGCTTTATTTCTGAAATGTCCTCATAAATCAACTTTAGAAATCCATGTTATCATCTGTTTTCTGTGTTGACTGTTGTAAGTATTCCTTACTGCTTGAATTTAAATCATTATCACACTCTGTTTGACAAATTACATTAATCCCTTCTTCTTCCTGTACATTTTTACACACGATGAAATACCAACTTCCTGTTCATTTATTTGGAGTTAATCCGATGACTCTGTGTAGACCTGATTCTCTACGTTAAAGTACTAAATGATCATATCACATACACATTGGTTAAAGTCGTCAATGGTACAGTTTTCACAGGATAGTTTTGTTTTTATCACTGATATTATATTTGGGAGATCTTCTTCTAAGAAACGTATGGTGTTTTTTCCGTTAATCAAACAAGACGAAGTCGTGTGGTACATATTCAATGTATAGTGTCCAGAATTATGAGAAGAAACCTTGTATCTTGTTTCTACGTTGTTTGAAGCTTTATCATGTACAATAGTTTTATTTTACAGTTAATTCCAATTTGAGAGCTTGCAAAATATGATTCAGTGGAATTACGAAACAATTCATACATACCGGCATTGATTTTCAAGATTCCCCCACCGTCTTTATGTATCAATTCAAAGACTTCATTTTCTTTGTGTTTGTTATTCCCATCACATTTTGTAGAAACTTGATCTTCATTAGAATAATTGTTTTCACAATTATTAGATTCCACTTCCATTTTTAAGTCCACTACCTTCCCTTTCTGCTGCTTTTAGTTGTTTCCTCAATTCTCTAGCTTTGTTTAGATCAAACATATTTATTTCTATGATAATTTGGTCCACTTCCGGTTTGTTCCGGGCGATCGCAATAGTTTTTCACTCATAACATCGCTTAATGTCAGCCGAATTATTCCATTTTTGTATGAATATGTTCAGAGAATTATTGCCTTTCAAATTAAATTATTTTTAAATCACTTCAAGGCACTTGATGTAAAATAATTTTATTTTTACATTTTGATTAACGTTAGCGTTTTTAAAGTTGTTTATCCGGACGTGACGTCATATGAATATATCATATGTACTTGTCAAGGTCACTTTTTGGAAAAGTCCATTTAAAAACTGGTCAGCCAATAGTATAGAGCCTGGACAGAATGCACGGATACTGGGTACAAGGGCTTATATCTTAAATTACGGTTCCAACAAGTTAATTGTTAAGCTACTTGAACTCACATTCAACCCTAAAATATGTTTATTTGAATTTAGTTTTTACTACAAGATTGATTGATTGCTAATGTTCTTATGAAAATACATTAAGATCCATTGAAGTACTGCAACATACTTTCAGCCACTCAAGCCAGACAAGAGCATAAATTCAATAGGCCGTTAGTAAATCGCACCTATAAATGAAAGTCCAATTGATAATGAAACAAGCCGCATGTAATAGCTAGCTAGCTCTAATGTTGATGCATAAACTGTCGTTTGAAAAATATAAATCAGATTCAAATCAGATTATCTAGAATAATCGTATATCAAGTCATGTACCAGAAACATATAAATCGTCATCTTAGTGCAATAACTGATTAACTCCTATTAAATTTAGAAGGACTTATTTCGTTACTGCACTAAGGTGACAATGTGTTATAATCGTTGTGTTACATGCATGATAAAAAATACTCGAAATTACATCAAAATTCGTCCAACTCGAATTAAATTAGCTTTACCCAGCTGGACTTGTATGCTTTTTCTAAATATATATCAAGTTATTTTATAATAATAACAATAAACTAATAAATGATCTGTCTGAAACTTAATGAATTATTCAAAAACCCTTTCACGAATGTATTTTTTTTTATCTAGATCTAATGATGATTTAAATATTTAAGTAATTTGTTACGGTTTTAGAATAATAGTCAATTCAAATGCGTAAAATGTTTATGAAAATATTGAATTTGAGAATTTATAGTGACAGGTCATACTACGCCATTAATAAAGAATAGAGATTCTAAATTAAATATGTTTGAAATAACTTAATTACCATAAATGACACAAAGCCCTGCGTTCAGATGCTATCTGTTTAAATACCTGTTCGTTGTATTCATTATACACGTAGATCTTAATATAAAGATACGCTTTTTCGAATGATATTTTTGTCAGCTACTTAAATGCGCAATTAAGTAGTCCATTAAGTTTTATCTGTACGTACAAACACAATAGAATAAACGAATAAAAAACATATTTACTATACAGCAGAATTAACATAGAAAGTACGTCAATATTAAGCCTACTTTCACAAAAAAGCAAAGTGACATTAACATGTGTTTTATCAGTATATATAGAGGATATTCAAGTTTTTTCTATAAATACATGATTTATTTTCATCGAGTGGTATGAAAATAAATATTTCATGAGTGGCGGTAGCCACGAGTGAAATATGGTAATTTTCATGCCACAAGATGAAAATAAATCATGTATTTATAGAAAAAACTTGAATTTTCTGTTTATTATATACATTTTGCTCTTTTTTTTGCGATAAATTTTGAAAGGCTTTCCCTTAAATTTTGTGTACTGGCAGAATTTAAAAGAAAGTAGTCCGGCAAGACACCAGTGAAAATACGGAAAATATGTTTCACTGCAGTGAAAAATAAATTTTTACAGTGAAAATACGGAAAATGAAAATACGCATTTTATTTCATCAATATTTCTCAATATTTCATTTATAAGTATATAATAAATATAATATATTTATTAAAAAAGACGTATTCAATTTTTTTTCAAAATGAACTTAACTTGTTCGTAGCTACATGGTTCATGTGACGTCATTCTTAAAATATAGCTACATATTTTATGTAGCATCGTACTTGTGCTGCTTGGCAATGTGTATCATCGTATTTAAAGTATTGTTATACATTTCATGCTATACATTTCGTATATTAACGTCGTAACAACGTTTTGCATTGCTACACTCTTTGTGTGATATCGTAGATAATGTATTGCTTCATATTTTGTGTGATATCGTATATAATGTATTGTGTGTTACATCGTAGGTATAACGTACTGCTACATACTTTCTATGCATACGTAACGTATTGATACATGCTTTGTTTACATATGAAATTATATTGCTTCATACTTTGTATCGTTTTATTTTATTTTTTATTTAACTTAAAAAAAGAAATTAAATGAAAATATTTTTAAAATAAAATGAAATTTTCATTTCCGTTATTTTAAAATTTCTAAAAAAATTTCTTTATTAAAGTAAAATAATTTTCCGTATAAAAGAAAATGGTGTAAACGACCGTCACTGAATTATGTTTGACCTTAATAAGGAAAATCTAGTATTCTTAAAACTAGGTGAAAGCACCCCTATCTGTGTTAATTTGAAAAATATAAACCATCGTCTTTATTGTTGAACTATATTAATTTGAATACATATAAAAAACGTCTTTATTATTCCGAAGTCATTTGTGTTTAAGTTTTTATGATACATTGAATAAAAGTAGTATGTAAGCCAATAAAAATTTAATTAACTTAAGTACACAAGGACCATGTTCAAAGACCATGTACAAATATACATTTTTGTTATAAATATAGCTAATACAAATATTTAATCGTGTCTGTAACACGTTGAATGATTTTTTTAGAAATTAATACTCAATTTCAAGGTGAAACTTATAATGTACGAAGAATTATGCAAAATATGACTTTTAAAAAAAATACAACCACGTTACTAACGGGAATGCGGAATTATTTTACATGAGAAACAAGTTTTTCTGCTGCTAGTTAGTGCCTTTAGCTAGCTTAAACCACTTAGTTCGTACTAAATTATTATATTATTTCGCTCATCAGAACAATATAAATTAACACTTGTTTTCACCATCGTGGTTTCGCATTTTCGCGTTTTTTTTCTTCATATTTTTCATATTTTTATTCGGCGATGCATAAGCAATGGTTCGAACGGTACACCATATAATCATATTCTATCACGAGCAAAATATTTTTCAACGGGCCCCCCTCTCCGTAGAGAAATATGTTGAGAGTTGATCAAATCTATCGAGACTATTTGTGGATTGTAAACTCTAATGTAGTTATAGAACTTCGTTGATACAAAGTACAAACAGCTATTATATACGCTAAGCTTGTTACTTTATGTAGGTTTATTATTGTTATGAAGACAGGTTAACTTTTATTTACTTTTGAACACACATGACTAAATTATAAAATGAAATTTGTCCGTCAAGGACAATATTTTTCACGCACATTAAATTCAACTTTGATTTAAAAAGTACATTTTACTATACGCAATTTTAAATATATGTTAAGGATATAAACTAAACCGCGTGATTCACTTTTATTCGGTATTCAGTGAAAGACACTTTTTCTTAAGACTGCAATATCCAGATTTTTTATGTTATCTATAAGAAATTTTAAAAAAATGTTCTTATCATAGAATTTCTTGCCCATTGAAACAATTAAAGTGATTCAACCTGGTCGAAGGTACCTACTTTCTGCAGAAATCGCATGTTACTAAATATATGCAAAAATGACATTTTATCCGTTACTAACGGGATAGAAACTTGAGTGTTAAAGATAGTAAAGTCTGTCATTATTTAAAATAACATTAGTTATTCTTATCCCATTTATGAGGGTTACAGATTTGAATTTATGAATCCACTATCATTTCAAAGTAATAAAGTAATAAATATTGTTTGCTTATAAACATAACGTTATAATGCATGTTTGATATACGGCCCGGAGTTACAGCTGCATGCCTCCAGATGAGCTAAAATACTACAACAAAATGAGTCTTGACAAAAATGTTCTAAGATTTTAAGAAAAAGTAAAAAAAAATAATAACTACCATTTTTCTTTTACTCTGTGCGATTATTGAATAGTTTTATAGACAAGTACTGTACAGTATTCGTCACAATATTTCTTCTGCGTGACTCACACAGTAAAGGGGTATTTTTTTAATATTTCAATCTCTTTTTGGTAATTTACGTGGATTGTAAGCGCGTTTGTTATTAGTTAATTACTTTCTTTCTTTGTTCACTTCACAATAGTTTACATTTAAATTCATTCTTTATTTTTATCTGAAGGTAAACTGCTTTAAGATGCTTACGGATGTTTATACTTAGCAACAGAACTTTAGAACAATAGATATGTTTTGGGCCAAGGCTTCGAACTTACGACAAGATTATTTTCATGTTAAACATCGGCTAGAAAATGGAAGTGTACCGCCATAGTATTTTTAGAAAACTTTATTTGCTAACATGTGAATAGACAAATACAATAATATATATTGTATATTTTAAATTGAAGTCAAGGGTACTTGAAAGTACGTCTTTATCTTAAAAACAAAAACTATTCTTTATCAATTTAACTTTAGTGTTTTACAGCACGGAGCTAGATAACATGTGATAAATCAAGTTTAATCAGTGTTTGATTTTTTATCATCATATTCTATTTTTTCAAGTATTAACGTACTGATTGATTGATCATGTATACCATTTATTGAACACTTAAAATACATCAGACTTTATGTACATCTATTAAATAAAAAAACTGAGAAAGTACTGGAAGTGCAAACTTTCTAACGCTGTTAAACATGTGGCCCGAATTTTTTTCTTTTATAAACAACTACAGTATATGGTTATTTAAATACTGTAAACTTATGTCTTAGGTATTTTTTGTATAGAAAGAAAAAAGTAATAAAAATATAGTTAAACTAAATCTTATATATATATATGAATCTCTCTTATAAAAAATATAAAAATATGATTTACTTACTACTAGTTACGTCATTATAACGATGTTGCTTCAAAGCAGACCGCCGGCCGCTACCCAAATCCTTCATGTTTTAATCAAGAATGTAACTTTATGTCCATTTACATATAACACCTTTCACCTACATCACATTTTTAATACGTCTAGATATATAGGTTATTTACCAACAGTAGATAATTCCTCTTTTAAAAACAGTGTAAACACCTTACTGTTAAAAGTATTACAAAATAATTAAATATAAACCGCAATATTACACAAAATTACTCTTTAA